ACTGATTCCCCGTGCCATCCCCAGGCAATTAAAGAATCTCTAAATCAGGGCCTGAAGAATCATATTTTGAGAAGCACTCCTCTATAAATCAACAAGGTTAACTTTCTCCCATCCAAGTACTAACCAGGCACCTAATTTGCCACCTGCTGTGGGAGCTACAATGTTCAACTGTCACTGCTTATTAAAAAAAAAAATCATTCCACAATGAAACCATTCAAATTTGGTCCATCTTCGGTATAAACTGTACTAGTTCAAAAAACTGCTTAGCATAAGGCTGTGATATGGTTTTTGCTGTATTTTGCACTTTGTTTGTTTACACAGGGGAACAGAATATGGGTCAAAATCATAAAAGAATTGCCACTTAAAAAATATGTATGAGCTGTTGATGTAGCTCAGTGGTCGAGCACTTGCCTAGTATACCTGAAGCCCTAAGTTCAATGTGCAGCAACACACACACACACACACATACACACAGTGCCTACAGTCTCAGCTACTGGAAAGGCTGAAACAAGAAGGATCTCTTCGGTTCAGGAATTTGAGACCAGGCAAGGCAAAGATAGCAAGCCCCTGTCAAATACGAAACAAAACAAAAATCTAACTATTTGGCAATTTCTACTAAAGTCAAACATATTTTATCTCTATGACACAGAAAATTCAACTTCTTGAAATTTAGGGCAATATCCAATAAGAGATTTGTATAAAAATATTCATAACAGTTACACTGGTACATACCTGTAGTCCCAGCAATTCAGGAGAATCACAATTCAAGGCCAACCTCTGCAATAAGCTTAGACCCTGCCCCATAATAAAAAAAGGGCTGGGGATATAACTAAGTGATAAAGCATCCTTGTGTTCAATCCCTAGTACTGCCAAAAAGAAAAAAGAAAAAAAAACACGAAAACTTCATAGCAGCATTTTTCATAGTAGCCCAAAACTGAGACGGATCATTAAAAAAAGAATGTGTAAACAAACTGTGGTGTAGTCATACAATGATATACTTTACCTCAGGAGTCAGCAAACTATGGTGGGGTGGACCAAACTAAGCCTGCCACCTGTTTTTGTAAAGCCTGAAAGTGGAGAATGGTTCTTACATTTTTACGTGAAAAATATAATTATTATTATCATTTTAAAAAATATTTTTAGTTGTTGATAGATTTTTATTTATTTATATGTGGTGCTGAGAATCCAACCCAGTGCCTCACACATGCCAGGCCAGGCAAGTGTGCTACCGCTAAGCCCCAGCCCCAGCCCAATAATTATTTTTTGACACATGAAAGTTATCTGAAATTTAAATTCAAGAGGCCATAAATAAAGTTATACTGGAACACCGCCATGCTTATTAATTTATGCACACTATAAAATGAGAGCCAAGTGGTGGCAACAGAGACCCTGAGGCCTGTAAAATTGAAAATAGTTATGATCTGGTCCCTTACAGAAAAGTTTGCCAACCCTTGCTATGAAGCAAGAGAAGAAAAGAATTGCAATAGCAGAAGCACCATGTAGAGTGTAAAGAGCCGGACATAGGAGTGCACACACGTGTGTAATTAATAATTAATTCTTCTTCCTTTTTTTTTTTTTTTTTTTTGCAGTACTGGGGATTGAACCCAAAGGCACTTTACCACAGAGCCACATCCTCAGCCCTTTTTCTTTTTATTTTGAGATAGGGTCTAAGTTGCCCAGGCTGAACTTGAACTTGTGATCCTCCTGCCTTGGCCTCGAAGCATCTGGTATTACAGGTGTGCACCACCTGTGTGCCGACTTGTAATTCTTCTTTAGAAAGTCCAGAACAGGTGGAACTAACTGTGTATCCATAAGTCCCAAGAATGATCCCTTGATAGATGCGTCATGGCCAGGAAGAGGGACAAGGAAGCCTTTGGGGTGACGGGCATGTTCTGAATCTCCACATGGATGGTGGGTACACAAGTGTAAACATATGTACGCATGCACCCAGCTGCACGTGTGTAGTCTGTGCACTTCTCACCTTATCATAGGTATGTTATAGACTTGATTTTTTAAAGTAGGAGCAGGAAAAATAAGAAGTATAAAAAAATAAACCCATCTCTTGTGAATTTGGTGTCACATACCTTATATACAAACAGAGATTGGATAAATTGTGGTATTAAGAATTGTAATGCAAAAAATTATGTATGTAATGCACTCCTCTATTGTGATGTATGTAAGAAATAATAAAAATAAATAAATAAATAAATAAATAGACCCATCTCCAAAGATTGATAAAGATCTCAGATCAAAGCCAAACCAACGCTAAACAACCATAAACACAGATAATAACAAGTGCTGGTAAGGCTGTGAAGGAGTTGGAACTTTCATATCCTGTTGGTGGGTCTGTAAAATAGTGTGGCCACTCTAGAAAAGTATGGAAGTTCCTCAAACTGTTAAACGTAAAATTATTATGTGACTCAGCAATTCCACTCCTAGGCATAAACTCCAGAGAAATAAAAACACATGTCAGGTTGGGGTTGTGGCTCAGTGGTAGAGCACTTGCCTAGCATGTGAGAGGCACTGGGTTCGATTCTCAACCACATATCAATAAATAAATAAAATAAAGGTTCATTAACATCTAAAAAATATTTTTAAAAAACACATGTCAACAGACATGTACACATGAATGTTCCCAGCAGCATTATTCATAATAGCCAGAAAGTAGAAAGAGCTCAAATGTCTACCAAACGATTAATGCATAAATAAGTTGAGGCGTAACCATCCATGTAATGGGATGTTGTTCAACGATATAGAGAATGAAGTACTGAAACATGCTATGACAAGGGTGAATCCTGAAAAGACTGTGCTGTTGAGGGAAAGAAGTCAGTAAAAATGATCACATTGTATGCCTCCATTTCTATGAAATATGCAGAATGGGAAAACTCATAGAGACAGAAAGTATATTACAAATTGAGGTGGCGCAAACCTGTAACCCCAGCAACTTGGGAGGCTGAGACAGAAGGATCTCAAGTTGAAGGGCAGCCTCAGCAACTTAACAAGACCCTGTCTCAAATATTAAAATTAAAAAGGGTTGGAGAGGGCTGGGGTTGTAGCTCAGTGGTAGAGTGCTTGCCTCACACACATGAGGCCCTGGATTTGATCCCCAGCACCACAGAAAAATAAATAAAAACAACGATATTGTGTCCATCTACAACTAAAATTTTTTTAAAAAAAGGGCTGGGAGTGTGGCTCAGTGGTAAAGCACCTCTGGATTCAATCTCCAGTACCATTAAAAAAAAAAAAAAAGTAAGCCAGACACAGCGGTACACGCCTGTAATCCCAGCAACTCAGGAGGCTGAGGCAGGAGGATTGCAAATTCAAAGCTGGCCTCAGCAACTTAGCAAGGCTCTAAGCAACTTAAGAAGACCCTGTCTCGAAAAACATTTTTTAAAAGGGCAGGGGGGATGTGGCTCAGTGGGAAAGCACCCCTAGGTTCAATCACCGATACCAAAAAAATTTTTTAAAAGTTGCCTAAGGCTGAGGAAGGGAAGAGGGAAGCTAGGGCTGATGGCTCAGGGTATGGGGTTTCTTTTTTAGAGAAATGAAAATAATTTAAAATTGCAGGGATGGATATACAACTCTGAATACATTACAAGTCACTGAACTGTGAACTTTAAAAGGATGCACTGTATGGTCTGTGGATTATATCAATAAGGCCGCTAAAGATAAAATAAACACTGAAATTAAATGTACCACAGCTAAACCCTTCCACACTTGCTCACTGAAAGCAGGACTCACCTTGACACAAACCCTAATCATTCCTAATCCTTCAGAGGCTCTGCTCAAATCCAAGAAATGCTTATTAGCACCTGAGTATTACGTGCCACCCACATAAGTGTACAAAGTCTTTTTTACCTACTTCCCAAAACAGGCTTGAAATAAAGAGTGTGTGGCCAGGTGCAATAGTAGACACCTGTAATCCCAGTGGCTCAGGAGGACTGTGAGTTCAGAGGCAGCCTCAGCAACTTAGCAAGGCCCTAAGCAACTTAGCAAGACCCTGTCTCTCAAGAAATATATAAAAAAGGGCTGGGGATGTTGCTCAGTGGTTAAGTGGGCCCTGGGTTCCCAATACTGACCCCCCACCCCTAAATAAACAAGAGTCTGTGACCTCAGCAGTTAAACCCTCTGATCCCATGCACAGTCCTCATTTCTACTAAACACTCTTGATAAATAAACTGTTCCCATTATTTAGCAAAACCTTCTGACCTGGAGGCTGAGACCTTACCCTGTAACCTGGCATTTTGTCAACCAAACTCTACATCTTTAGCAACTCTGATTAGGGAAAAAAAAAAAAAAAAAAGCCCTGTCAGTTAGGTGGAACTAACTGTGTATCCATAAGTCTCCTCTGAGCAACCCCCTCCACTCCTCCATATTGCCCTGGATTGCAATTCTGGCCGGAAACCTGCTGATTCTACCTGTGGCAAGAAAGAGAAGGAGGTGGGGACCTTCTGACCATTCCTGGGTGAGGCAACAGCTGGGGCTAGGGTGAGGCTACCACAGTGCCACATTTAAAGGAGGCACCCACTCTTAGGGGCCAGCCCTGCATTTACAGCACCCTGCAAGTGAGCACCACCTTAAATATTACTCCCTAGAGCCTCACCCTAGCCCTGGCGCTGTGCAAGGGGATGCTCCTTCCTCCAACAGTGGCTCAGAAGACTGGGCTGGGTCTCCTAGCCCTGGCCTCAGAATTTCAACCACCAATCAATTTTATGGAGACACAGGGCCAACAGAACTGCCCCAAAGCCTTAGGAAACTCCATAAATGTTGTTGACTTAAGGGACTTGGCCAGAGACACACCCACCTTGAACCTCCTTCCCCAATGCCCTACCTGTTTATAGTGGCCTCCTCCCAGAGATGTGAGTTCAGGGGTCAGGAAACCAGGTCCTAAGGTCCCTCCTCCTGAGGACTCAGCAGCTCAGGGCTCCAGTACCCTCTTCCCTTAAGTTCAAGGAGTCCAGACTATCACCCTCTTCTCGGGGACCCAGAATCCAACTTACAAAGCGTCCAAAGGGGATAGAATCGCCATCCTCAATGTGAAGGTCAGCATGGGCCCCACTAAGGCGGGAGATGACAGACTGACAGCCAGGAAGTAGAGACCGGAGCACCCCTGAGCCTGTAATGTGGTCTGCGTGGCAGTGGGTATTCACTGGGAGACAGGAGGACAAGATTAGGGCCAAGCCCCCAACCCTCCTCCCTGAGACCCAGGGGTCCAGGCCCCAGCACCTCCTCCCTCCACCCACGAGTTGGGTCTCCAGACTAACCAGCGTACAGCAGCCGCAGCCCCAGCTCCTTGACCAACTGGGCATCCCGGGGTGCTGTCTCCAGGACCGGGTCGATCAGAATGGCCTCCCGGGACTCTCTGTCACCCAGTAGGTACGTATAGGTGCAGCTTTTCGGCTCAAACATCTGGGGGTGAGGTTGGGGGACACAGGTGAGAGTGCCCATCTGCGACTCCCATCCCCCAGAGCCAGGAGTCCAGACCACACATCCTCTTCCTGAGATTCTGAAACCCAAGTCCCTCTTTCTCCTGGAGTCGGGAATCCGGGTATCCGGATCCCCACCTTCCTCTACCAGAACTAAGTCATTCCAAGTTTCTTTCTTTCTTTTTCTTTTTTTCCTTTCAAAAGTAGACAGAGGTTCACAAAAAAAAAAAAAAAAAAAGATACACAGTCGGAGGAGGATGGGAACAACCTTAAGAGAGAGAAGGCTTTAGGTTAAAGCAAGGGATACGCATTCAAGGGAAACCGCGGGCCATCCGGAGGGGGAGAGCGCCAGGAATTCCACCAACACCCCAAACCAGGGTTCCCAGCACTCTATCTTGTAACGGACCCAGGAGTTCGGCCCCAAGCCCACGGTCCTCCATATCGCTCCCCTGGACACTGCATTCCAGCCCCCAGCTCCACCTATTGTGTGCAACGTACAGGCATGGGACCCCCCACCCCCAGATCTCTTCCTCCTAAAAACATCCACGAGTCTCTCCCCTCCCGCTGCCTACGGCCCAGTAACCCGCTTCCTGGTCCAGCCACCTCGCACCTGCCGCAGGAGGACGGGGGCTCCAGACCCGCTGTGCTGGCTCAGCTGCCGCCCAGCAACCCTTAGGGCCGCCGCTGCCATCGCGCCCCAGGCCAGGGTCCACGCTGAGCCCAGGCAAAGCACCCGCCACAGCCGGACGCTCCAGGGCTGACCCTGAGAGCTGGGCGGGCGGGGGGCGGGGCGTGGCGGGGTGAGGCGGGGCCTGCCTTAAAGGGGCCGCGGGCGCCAGCGCGGAGGGAGGGCGGGGCGTGCAGCTGCAGACCTGGGGGACAGCAGGGATGTGTCAGAGACCCAGGAAGACAACGAGCCGCCCCGGGGCACTCATATCTGGAACAACAGAACAGAGACACTCGCGAGACGCTCAGAATATTGGCATAGAGAGAGAGACAGGCAGAGAGGTAGAAACTCAAGAGACCCCCCAGTCACTCACAGCCACAGGCCATTTTAGAGGAAAAGCCCGTGGTGGAAGAGTCATTATGAGAAAAAAAAGATGCTCGGTTCAAGGTCACTAGTGTTTTGAGGGACTGTTGGGTGGGTGCCTAGTTACCAGAACAATACTAACCCTCTTAAGTTTCATCCAAAATTTCTTGAAGCAGTTTATCAGAAATGTTTTCTTTCTTCCCAAGAAGAAATATTTTATGTATGTGTTTGCACATGCATATATACATATTTGTACATGTATGTATGCTTACATATAATAAATGAATATGCATAAATTACATGTAATACATATAAAAGTTTGCAAGATATAATTTTGCATTATATTTTGCAAACTCAGGCTGAAGATCTTTTTGTCTTATTTGTCTTCTGATGGGGTGTGAAACTGTAAAACAGCTTTTGTTCATTCACGTCAAAGACCCAGAGGCAAGAAACTGCCCTGTCTAAAGCCATGGACTGTCAGAAGTTTGGTTCTTCAGAATCATATCAATAGTGTGAATAAGACCCTCCTAGGCTAGAGCTACATAACTCAGTGGTAGGGCACTTGCCTAGAACACACAAGGCCCCAGGGTTCCATCCTCAGAACAAAAAGTAAATAAATAAAGAAGTTAAAAAAAAAAAAAAACTCAACCACTCCATTCTAGTCTTCTGGAGGATCCAAAAAACTGCCAAAGAAGCAGTCTGACTGCTAGCCCAAGTGCAGAGAGCTTTTGAGGTGAGTTTCAGGCAGCAACAGTCCACTTTTATGCCCCCCATTTTAAAAAAAAATATTTTTATTAGTTATAGATAGGCACAATGCCTTTATTTTATTTATTTTTTATGTGGTGCTGAAAATCGAACCCAGTGCCTCACACATTCTAGGCAAGTGCTCTGCCACTGAGCCACAACCCCAGTACTCCCCCACTCCTTTTTAATACTGAGATTGAACCCAGGGGCACTTTACGCCTGAACTACTATGCCAGCACTTTTTTATTTTAATATTTTTTAGTCGTCAATGGGCCTTTATTTTATTTATATGTGGTGCTGAGAATCGAACCCGGTGCCTTACACATGCCAGGCAAGCGCTCTACCACTGAGCCCAACCCCAACCCAAGCACTTTTAATTTTTATTTTGAGACTGGATCTTGCTAAGTTGCCCAGGCCAGCCTCAAACTTACTATCCTCCTGCCAAACTGCTGGGATTACGGGATGTGACAAGGCACTAAAATCCACCTTGGTCTTAACTCTGAAGTTTCCAAGGAACAGGCTCTGGAAGGAATCCTCAGAGCAGGACCCACTTTAACCCCTTTCCACATGATCTGCTTTGCCTTAAGCCTAAACTCTGCCTCACTTAAATTTTAAACAAATGTCACCTTTTCCCAGACCCTCTGCTAGTGCTAGCCCTCTCTCTGTGTGTTTGGGGAGCTGGCCAGGACTTCCTTTATGGTCCTCCCTCCTAAGCTACAGCAAGTCAATAAAACCCAATTTTGCCAAACTCCCCGAGTATCTCTGGTGGCCTTCATCAGAGGTAAGACTCATAGAGCCCCTCAAGGGCAAGGGAGAGGCTCAGACACCAAAGAAGGAGACCTGAAGAGCCATTCAGAGACACAGGGAGGGTTGAAATGGATGTCCTACAAAGAAATAGAGTCACAAAGGTACAGTTGCAGATTCTAGAAGATTGTGGGAAGAAGTCACCAGGAAAAATGGGTGGAGAGAAACGCTCCGAGCCAAGGGAACTTGGCTCATTTATTCCAGGCATGAATTCTAGGCTTGCCACCTGGGCAAAACTGGGACCCAGAGGTGAGTCCCCAGTCAGGATGGTGAGACACAGAGGTGAGGGCATAAGGAAGTGCAGCAATTGGAGGAGCTCAGGGCAGGGAGGAGGCAGGGGAAAAAAGAACCTTCAGGCACTCTTCACTGGGAGAGCTCCCCAAATAAGACCTGCTCCTCCTGGGGCTCATTCCTAATGTTTTGACAGAATTTCTAGGTTGATTACCTGACCCTTGAAGAACCTCTGGGGTTTCTGTAGGCTCAGCTGTGAGATGTCCTAAAAGTTAGAAACCTTGGCTTCAACCTTCTCAGATCTGAGATCCTGGGCTGAAAATTGTTCTTTCTCTGCATTTCAGCTTTCTCATCTGTAAAATGAAGTTGAAAATATTTCCTCCCTTCTTTATGAAGGTCCAGTTAGTTCCCACGTGTAGAGTCTGGAAGACACCTGACCAGAACAGGACCTCGGTGGAAGCTGGCCAGCATTACTTCATCTTTGTCCTTCACTCCTTCCTCTCCTGGCCACCTCCACCCAGTTCATCTCCAGGCCCTGTTAAGTAAACCTCTCCAGTCAGGCCTCCTTTCCATCCTCATGCCCTCTAACCCCATCAAGAGGCAGCAAAGCATCAGGGTGAATTGTTTGGACTCCAGGGCCAGGCTGTAGGGATTGAAATTCTGGTTGTTACTTCCTGCTGGGACCTGGCTGTGTGACCTTGGGCATGTGACCTTGCTTGCACTCCATGCCTTATTTCCCTCTTCTGATGAGAACAATAGTAGCACCTCCTCTTAATAAATTGCTGTGGATATTAAATAAATTAATGTACATAAAGACAATTTCCAGTATATAATAAGTTAATAAGTGCTCAATAAATGCTAGTAGTTAATACTGTGATGACTAGGTAACAGTGGCCTCCCTGGTTTTCTGGCTTCCACTTACCTCTTTACATTTAATTTTCCATGCAGCAATCAGAGCGAACATTTAAAATGTCAATGAAAAAGAGTCACAGCAAATAATGCAATGTGTGGGCCTTGTTTAATTCTGATTCAAACAAACTAAGTGTGATAAAAAGATGTTTATGGGATATGGTGTCTGGCACTGAGCTTTAGAATCATCTAGGAGGAGTGGTTGTGGTCATTTAAACAACATTGGTCATAGTGAGTGATTGCAGTCGGGCTGAGTGGCACATGCCTGTAATCCCAGAGAGTGGCGACTTGGGAGGCTGAGGCAAAAAGATTTCAAGTTCAAACCAGCCTCAGCAAAAGTGAGGTGCTAAGCCACTCCATGAGACCCTGTCTGAAAATACAATACAAAATAAGGCTGTGGATGTAGCTCAGTGGTTGAGTGCCCCTGAGTTCAATCCCCAGTACCAAAAAATAAAAAATAAGTGTGTGATAGTTGTCACTGGCCAATTTTTCTTTTTTCCAGTGCTGAGGATCAAAACCAGGGCCTTATGTATGACAGGCCCAGCCTGATGCTGGCCAATTCTATTATTGACGCAGCAAATAATTGTTTTCTCTCAACTTTTAAATAAAATTAAACATTGCACTTGGAAAGAGTGGGGGGAAATGTTAATGGGGCTATAGGAAAAACTGAACTCTGATGGGGTATTTGATAACATTAAGAAATGACTAAGCAATCAAAATGGTACATGCTTGTAATCTCAGCAGCTTGTGAGGCTGAGACAGGAGGATCATAATCTCAAGGACAGCCTCAGCAACAGTGAGCACATGCTAAGCAAGTGCTATGCCCCTGAGTTGCACCTTAGCCCTTTTTCTTGGCGGGGGGCTACTGGGGATTGAACTCAGGGGCACTTGACCACTGGGCCACATCCCCAGCCCTATTTTGTATTTCATTTAGAAACAGGGTCTCACTGAGTTGCTTAGTGCCTTGTTGTTGCTGAGGCTGGCTTTGAACTCACAATCCTCCTGCCTCAGCCACCCAAGCCACTGGAATTACAGGCGTGTGCCACTTCACCTGGCAACCTCAGCCCTTTTTAAAATATTTTTTTTAAGCTGGGCACAGTGGTGGACAGCTGTAATTCCAGCTACTAGGGAGACTGAGCAGGAAGACTGCAAGTTTGAGGCCAACCTTGGCAACTAACAAGACCCTGTCTCAAAACAAAAACAGAAGGGCTGGGGATATAGCTCAGTGGTACAGTGATTACCTACCATGGTCAAAGCTCTGGGTCCAATCCCCCAATACATCAAAAAAATATATTTTGAGACAGGATCTTGCAAAATTGCCCTTACTAGCCTTGAACTTGCAATCCTCCTGCCTCAGTTTCCCTAGAGGCTGGGATTACAGGTGTGTGCCACCACACCTAACTTTTCCATAATTAAAAAAATGGTTAAGAAAATATCAGGGCTGTGGCTGTGGCTCAGTGGCTGAGCACTTGCCCTGCATGTGAGGTATTGGGTTCGATCCTTAGCATGGCATACAAAAATAAACAAATAAAATAAAGGCATGCTGACCATCTACAACTACAAAAAAAAAAAAAAAAGCATATGAAAACCAAACCTAGTTCATGATACTTCCTATGTTTCTGTGACTCACTAATTCTTTTCCTTTGCAGTGCTCAAGATTGAGTCCAGGGCCTCAGGCATGCTAGCAAAACCCTCTTCCACTAAGCTACAACCCAGGCCTACTTCCTATGTTTAAAACCCTCCCCTGGTTTCTCATTCAGCTTAGTCTCCTTCCTAAGTTCCTTGACCTTAAGTTCTATATTCTACCCATCATTCTATCTTTCTGTCACAGAGGGCTTCTTATTGTTAAAATTCTTTCAAGTATTTATTGGACACAGATTTATTGACCATCTCTTATGTGCTAGACCCTGTTCTGGATTCTGGGGACACAGAGATGAACAAGATTGATAAGTTGTTCATTTTAACAGAGCACACATTCTAGAAGACAGATATATAGCGATAAGGGAGAGGACATAGCCAGGAATGGAGGGAAGGGTGAGCAGGGAAGTCTTCACCTTTATAACATTTGAACTGAGGTGGGGGTGGGTGGAGCCAGGCAAGCAAAGAGAAGAAGGAAGAGCCCCGGGGAAAGAAAGAACAGCTAGTGCAGAGACACTGAGGCAGGAATGACAGTGGCATACACAAGAGCTGGAAGGAAGGCCAGCATCTGGGACATGACAAGTTATGACAGGTGAGATCCCCCGAATGCAGCAAGGTCCTCCCCATCTTGAAGTCTGGTCACTTGCTATTCTTGGTACAACTTTGACCCCATCAGGCCTAGTTTAATACACAGTAAAAACAAAAATATTGATAGCATTTATTGAGCATTCTAGACACTTTCTGTTCTCAAAAATTTCCATTGATTATCTTACTTAATCCCAAGAACCTTCCATTTTATATATGAGGAGACTGAAACCCAGAAAGATGAAGTGACTTGCCCAAGGTCACAGGGCTAGAAAGTGGCAGAGTCAAGAGTTCAGACCAGTTACCCCCAGGCAATCTGGCCCAGAACCCAAATTACCTGCCAAAGTACTCCCACAGCTCCCAGGGCTCGCCAGACCTTATTGTCAGGCTGAAGAGTCACCCAGGCGGAGGACTTTAAAGGACACTTCATAGTCTTTCCAGCTCGGGGCAGGAACATGCACTGTCACTGCCTGGGAAGAATGCCACCCTGGGTTTGGCACCAGGAGAATAAGCCTGGGCACCTCAGGACCACCCAGGCCGGGGGAAGGAGGAAGCGTGGAATGCGGGGCCGGGACGGGGGTGCTGAGAACCTGGAGCCACCCATGGTGGAGGGTGCCAGGATGCTATAAAATGCCATGCCTTTTATCCGGCACCAGCTCGCTCTGAGTGAGTCCTCCCCCGCCCTCTCTCGAAGAAACGGCCAGATGTTTTTGCAAATGCCTTTAGAGGTGAAGTGGAGAACGAGCTTTTGAAATTGCCTCCAGAGATGTAACTCAGGCTGTCCCGTGAAAAGAAGTACAGAGGCTCGGAGCTTTCTCACTGAGCTCCAAGCGTAGTTAGTCCGTGTTAGCCTGCACGTGCTTGACTCCAGCCAGCCACCGTAGGCCCCGCACCGCTGTGCACTTTACCGCGGTTCTTGGGCCGTCAGCTCTGCGCTTGATGGTGAACTTGTCTGCCAGGCTCACCCACCCCTTCCTTCCATTCCGTCTTCCCCCGCCGCAGCTTCTGCTGGCCGCAACTGCGCATGCGTCCACGCCGGCGTGGGAGGAGGGAATGGAAATGAGGCTGGGCCCAGCAGCTAGCGAAGCTCCCGCCTCCTCTGCCCGCCCCGTCGCCCAGCGGTGCAGCTCCGTGGGTCCGAAGGCAGCGAGGCAGCGGCTGGGGCACCTGGAGCTGCCGAGGAGGGTGGGGCTCGGAGCCCCGCCCCAAAGGAGGGGCAATCCCACAGGTGAGGAGGGTAGGGGTCCTGGCTCGGACGCCTAGTCTACGGAAAACAGTGGGGGCTAAAAGCCAGGATCTCTCCGAGGAAGCTCGCTTTGGGTCCGGACACTCGGTTCCGGGGGGGCTTTGCATTTAGTGCGCGAATACCAGCACTCTGAGGGGTGCATTGTATCCCGGATGCTTGCAACCCGGAGGGAAATTGTATTAGAGGTCTCTGGATTGCTACACACGCCACATTCCTTTCGTATCTTCGTCCAGGTCTCCCTTCTGTCCTCCACGGCCACAATCCACACCGCGGATGAAACTTACCAACAAGAAAGACGAGGTTGACGCGGCGTCAATGGACTGAGACTGAGCCCAAAGCCTGGTAAAGCCACTCTTGGATGTAAAGTTCTGCCCACTGCGCTAATAGGCCCCTCCCCTGGGACAGAGCTGCAAAAGACACAGCCCACTCCACTCGCCCTCCCGCCCCTGGGCCTGAGTTGCGGAGCAATTGACTTTGGTCTTTTTGCATAACCCCGCCCATCCCCGTGTCAGCTCTCACGGCCGTAGGGTTTGGAGGGAGGAAGGTTCCGCCCACTCTGAACATAGGCCCCGCCCACTCCACCCAAGCTTCAATTGCAAAGGTCTTTAGGTTAGATTTGCATAGCCTCGCCCATTCTGCTTTTAGGCCCCGCCTTCCCGCCACGCCTGCCCTCACGTAAGAATCCCATATAAACAGACTGACCTGATTTTAGGCCCTCCAACCAACCCTATCCCTATCAACCTGGTAATACCCAGCATCACCCCCGCCCCTGCGCCCTGCCCCTAGGTTCCTGTGTCAGCAAGATGCTGGAGCGAGGCGCGAAGTCCAAGGCTGAGGGCACAAATCCTAGTCCTACTGGCAAGGAGCCCGTGACCAAAGGAGTTGAGAGCGACCCTGCCTGTGAGTAGGGTTCATTCCCAGGAATGGGCTGATAAGAAGATCACATGTTTTGGGAAATCATAGGCTGAAAGTTTGAAGTCCCAGAATCATGACCATTTAGGATCCCCAAAACTGCATGTGCTCTGGGGAATCCTCCCATTTGATTTTGGGAAATCTCCAGTGGTCATTCGCTAGGGCTGAGGAAATTAGAAGAGGCATATGGGGATGTGGGACTTTAGGGTGATCACTGGAAAGATACTGGAAATAGATGCCTCAGTAGCTTTGGGGACCTAGGAAGGTAACCCCTTGGGGCCCCTCAGGATAATGCATGGGGGAAAAGGGAAGCAGAAATAATGGCATTTAGAAAATTAGTGTAACATTAAAATGCTAAGGTACACTTTGGGTGGCGGGCTGCAACATCAAGGTGGTAGCAGAGCCTAGCTTGGACCCAGGGTGTTAGCTGCTTCCTGGAGCCCACCAGTCCTCCTGTCCCCCAGCTCCCCACCAGGCCCCGCCGCAGAAGCCCAGCCAGTCTGCTCCAGGGCCCTCCAAGTCTGGGGGCACGCCCTCCCGGCCCCGCCGGCGGCCCCCACCCCAGCGCCCGCACCGCTGCCCTGACTGTGACAAGGCCTTCTCCTACCCGTCCAAGCTTGCCACACACCGGTTAGCGCACGGCGGCACCCGACCCCACCCGTGCCCCGACTGCCCCAAGGCCTTCTCCTACCCCTCTAAGCTGGCAGCCCACCGCCTCACACACAGTGGTGCCCGCCCACACCCCTGCCCGCACTGCCCAAAGGCCTTTGGCCACCGCTCCAAGCTGGCAGCCCACCTCTGGACCCACGCTCCCACCCGTCCCTACCCGTGCCCTGATTGCTCCAAGTCCTTCTGCTACCCCTCCAAACTGGCCGCCCACCGCCACACGCACCATGCCAATGACGCCCGCCCCTATCCTTGCCCACACTGCCCCAAGGCCTTCTCATTTCCCTCCAAGCTGGCTGCCCATCGCCTATGTCACGACCCCCCCACTGCACCAGGCAGCCCAGCCACTGGCCAACACCGATGCTCCAACTGTGGCCAGGCCTTTGGCCAGAGACGCCTCCTGCTCGTTCATCAACGCAGCCACCACCAGGCAGAGGGCCAGGGGGAGAGAGACTGAGCTCTCCCTTTGGTTCACAGGCGGCCCCTTCCAGCCAGCTCCGGTCAATAAAAAGGTGGGATTTCTAAGCCCTGCTGTATGGACTTGGCTCTTCCAGATAGCTGGCAGGGTGAGAGATCTGCCATTTACACTGGTTCAGAATTAGAAGCCTGAGGAACTCTGCTCACCTGGAGGGGCAGGTGTCAACCTGAATTAACACTGGATCCCAAACCATGGACCTGGAGCTGTGGTTCCATGGGACTGGTTCAGTCTGGTTCTTTTCACCCATTTATATGGCAAAGGTAAAGCCTGCTAGCATCCTGGGTTGCTGAGGAATGTGGGCAAACAGGCTCTCTCCTTGCTGAAAGTTTAACTTGGTGTCTCCACCTTGGCCACATGACTGGTTCTAAGACATTTAAAATATACACATTTGCTTGTTTCAACTATTCCACTTGTAGAAATTTCTCCCATAAACTCAAAACATGTCAAGACATAAAGGTAAGGCTGTCCACTGCGGTATGATGGTTTCCAAAGACTAGCAACAGCCCATATGCCTGCCCATCAGTGGGGGCCAGCTAATGAATGACGGGAGCCACAGAGTGGACTGTGTAGGGAGAGGGCAGCACTGTTACAGATGTGAAAAGAGCCCCAAAAGTGATGAAGGCAAGCTCAGGTAAACACCCAAAGCGCAGAACTAGCCCTGCCACTCCTCAGGAGACTGGGGGGCCTCAGACAAGATTTGTCACTTGTCCAAACTCAGATGCCTCATCTGTAAAATGAGGACATTCTAAGGCATTTGTTAGGGGGCAGTCAGCTTCCCTTTTGGAGTTTATTCTCCTACTATAATAAGGATGAGTGTGCTCTGTTCCAGATATTTATTAAGCACCTACTGTGTGCTGCACCCCATGTGGGGTGTTAGGGACATAGCAGTGAAGACAGACCTGGTCTAATACAGACAGCAGACAGAAATCAAGCCAAGCCAGACCCCAAGCCAAAAAACAAGTCAGGTCCATTTACAGGACAAGTGTGGGAGCCTTGGTCCACTGCCCCCTCCACAAGGATTACCTCAAGGCTGCAGTAGTGACATCTTTTTTGGGTGTTGGTTTGGAAACAGGCCAATGGAAGGGAACTGAGAGCTCAGAAATGGGCCTGTGCTTATACTGACAGACTATCTGTAGATCAGAGGGTGGCCAACTTTTCCTGTGAGGGCCAGACCGTATATATTCTTAGGTTATATAGGCCATGTGTCTGCCACAATTAGTCACCTCTGCTGCTGGAGCAGAAAAGCAGCTATACACATTATTATGCACACGGGAAGGAGTGTGGCTGTGTTCCAACAAGTTATTTACCAAAAAACACTTGGTGAGCTGGATTTTGCCTTAGGGCCCAGCTTGCCAACCCCTACTGTGGATGAGTGGGTAAAGGGCAGACTCAGTACTGAGCTGAAAAATATGGAGGAAAATTAAATGGGATCCTGTGGTGTACAGAACAGTGCCTACCTGAAGATGCTTACATCCTAACCCCCAGAACCTTTGCTAGCCTACACGTGGCAAAAGGGACCACAGGCAGACAGATCTTGAAGGACTTCTTGAGAAGGGGAGATGGTCCAGATTTTGAGTAGGCCCAATGTGATCACAAGGATCATTATATGGGAATAAGAGCAGCGTTAAGAATCAGAGGAGAAGTGAAGGTGGAAGAAGAGATTGAAGTGATAAAAGGACCCTAGCTGAGGATCTGGGCAGCCTCTAGAAGCTAGGAAGGGCAAGGAAATGGATTCTTCCTTAGAGCCTCAAGACCTGCTGAAGACCTGTGGACACCTTGATTTTAGGACAATGAAGCTGAGTTTGGACTAAATATATGTTGTTTAAAGCCATTAAGCTTGTGGTGATTTGTTACAGCAACAGTAGGAAATGAATAGCGATCCTGTCACCTCACACTATACACAGAAGTAAGTTTCTGTTGATTTAAAATGCAGTTTGAGGAGCAAAACCCTAAGAAATAAAAGAGAATTATCTTAGTAACCACAGAAGCAGAGCATGTATTCTTGGCAGGTGGGGAGCACAAAAGGGTAAAGATTCTGCTCTCCTCTGAACCTTGCAGTGTTGCTTATATCATGTTTACACAGAGAGCAGTGCTGGGAGTTATTCCAAAGCAACCACACCATCAGCAGTTACAAGCACTCAAACTCACCTGAGAGATGTTGACTTGGCTCAATCTTACTTGGTACACATGGAAAAAATGAGGTTGAGAGAGGATTTACTTGCAGCCAAACAGGGCAGAAGCTGAGTCTGGAATGGAATGTGAATTGCCTTTAAAAGCTGGGGAGGATGGGCAGATGGTGGGTCTCCTGGTATCCTGCTGTCTGCTCCTTAACACAGCAGACCTGCTCATGCCTCAGAACCTTTGCACTTACTTTCCCTCTGCCTGCAAGGGCTCTCCCAGGTACTCCTGTACATCTCCCAGGGCCCTGCAGAGCGCGGCAAATCCTCTAAACTACCTGCCCCTGCCCCACTGCTGTCACTGCCCTGCTGAATTTGCTCCCCCTGTGTTTTTCACTGCCTAGTGCACCAGCACTCCCCAGCTCTCCAGGCGCAATGGCAGCCCTGCGGGATCAGGAACTAGTGTCAATTTTTTTTTTTTCCCTACACTGAAGTCCTAGTGTTACATGTGCTGGTTGTGGTGGGTAGAAGAATGGCCTCCCAAAGATGCTCACATCCTAATCCCTGGAACCTGTGAATATGTGGCGAAGGAGAATGAAGTAGAGAAGGAATGAAGGTTGTTAAGCAAATGACCTTCGAACAGATTGTCCCAGGTGATCTAGGGGGCTCCGTGTAATCACAGGGCCTTTACATGTGGAAGACAGTAAACTGGCCACAGCTGGCTTTGAACCTGGAAGGGGAATGGAACGTGGACTGCCCTTAACAGCTGGGCAGGCTGAGCAGATCCACCCCGGCCTCCAGGAGGCTCACTGCTCTGCCTACACCTGGGTTTTTAGCCCAGACCCCCATGTTAGGTTTCAGAGCTTCAGACCTGGAAGATGAGTTTCTGTTGGTGGTTTGATACAGCAGCCCTGGATGACGGTGATCTGAATGAGGGTGATTGAAGGAATTAATACAGCCTAATGCCATTTTATCTTATGGATAAAGAAACGAAGGTTCAGAAAGGGAAATGAGGGAGACTGCCAGCTCTGGGGGTTGACTTGGTGTGTTCAAGAAATGACCTGGGGTGGGTGGGTGGGGAGCTGCAGCGGTAACTCAGTGGCAGAGCACTTGCCTAGCATGTGTGAGGCACTGGGTTCGATCCTTAGCACCACATAAAAAACTAAACAAATAAAGGCATGCTGTCCATCTACAACTATAATTTAAAAAAAAAAAAAAAAAAGAGTTGACCTGAAGGTCAGCTTTCAAACCCAGCTCTGGCCTTTGTCCTGCTCAAGTACCTTTCTGACTTTCCCCACCACCATGATAAAGTCCAAGCTCCTGGGCCAGGATGCTCAGCGCTTTGGGGCAGCCCTGTCCAAAAAGCCTTCCGCAGTGACAAGTGTTCTCTGTGCTGTCAGTACAGTAACCTCAGAGTACTTGAAATGTGTGGCCAGCGTGACTGAGGAAGTTTCCATTTCAATTCACTGAAGTAGCCACCTGTGTCTAGCAGCCACCACACTGGACTGCACAGAAGCAAGGAATGTGCCCACTTCTCTGCTACATCTGCCCCTCAAGCCTCTTCTCCAAGGGCAGCAGCGCTCACCCGACTGCCTTAGGCTAGTCCCACCTCCTGGCCCTTGCCATGGCCTGGTGCCTGCCTACAGGGCCATCCCTTCTGCCCAGATTCCCTAACACTTAGCTCAGTTCCCACCTTCAATGTGGTGAACCTAGACGGGGTCCACGCCATCACCCACAGAGACACAATCCAGATGCAGAATGCCTCAGAGGACCAGGACGAGTACTGGGGCAGGGCTGAGTAGCAGACTCTTAATTCTGTCTTTGGCCAGCACAGGGGTGAGAGGCCAAGGAGAAAGGCAGAGCCCCTTCCCTCTCGGATCTCTGATGGAGGGGCCTGGTATACTTCCAGATGCCAGGACAGGGGTCTAACAGTAGCCCAGAGACCTGACCCTCATGGAAGTCACCAAAACCAAACATGAGACATAAGCCAGAGTCTCTTGGAATTCTGGGAGACTCCTAAGTGTGACAGGGCAGCTGCTCCAAACAAGTCACCTTTATTAAACTGTGTGTGTGTGCGCGCGCGCGCATGCAGGCACACCTATTTCAGGCCTGGGGCACGACCCCATAGAGCTGGTGGGGAAGTAACTTCTGCTTCTCGTTGCAACTGTAGATCCATCTGGGACGAACGAATGCCAGGGAAGGGTTGTCCATCAAGGCCTGTGGGGGGCAGGGGCCCACATGAGAATGCATAATGGCGGGATGGCGGGGTGTCAAGGCAGGCTCACCTCCTCGGGGCTCACCTCCTCGAAGCTGGGATCCCACTCCTGTGCCGTGATCACAAACTGAACCCGGTCACTCATATAATCCTCGAGCTCCCTGTTAGGAGTGAGGAAGAAAGGCATTGGGCACGTCAGGTGATCAGTGCCCCTTCTCTTAACACCCCACTCCCCAACCATTCTCAGAGGCTGTCCTCTCTCCAGCCCCACCTGTGCTCCCTCGAGCTATCCTCAGTACCTCCATTTACCAGCCTGGCCAAGCCACAGTGGTGGCAGCTCCACAGGGGTAACCCTGATGATGGCCCTTTCAGAAGGAGGTAGAGACCCTTACTTTAGAGGAGACTGGGGACTGCCCAGGAAAGCGGGCATGGCTGGCATTTGGTCTCTGCAGTCTGTGCCCATCTTATTGGCCAAGCACCTTCTCCCTCCTCCTTCCTTCTCACAACCCCTCCACGGTGTCCCCGAGCCCTTCCCAGACCCATCATCTCCCCCAACACACTGACCCGTTGAAAGCTGTGACATATCGGATGAGTTTCCGCCGCTCGTCTCCAGGGAACTCCCCATACAGGAAGAAGTGTTTGCCCTGGAAGAAGTCTGCAGGAGAGATGGTGGAAGGGGCATGTGAGGTCCCCTGAGTTCCAATGGCACCCAACTGTCATCCCACAGTGACTGAACACAGGGAGCCAAGACAGGGAGGCGGGCAGGGTGTCTGAGATCAGGGGTTTGCAGGGGCAGGAACCTATGACAAGCAGTGGTTTCCAGCCCAGTGGCCCCTCAGAGCCTTCTGGGAGGTATGGTCGCTGGCTGGCTTGCTCTACTAGTGGAGGACACAATTACCACCATGGCAACGTGTCTGACAGCGGGCTGCAGGCCTGTCAACACTGCGACCCCTGAGCTGGCCACTTCTTCCTCTGGGCTGGCTCACTCCTCCAGCCAGTACCTGTCTCTTGCTCCGGCCTCCAGGGTGGCTTTCTTTTTTCCATTTTCATGTGACTTTCCAAGCCAATGACATGCTGCTGCCACTTCAGGGGCTTTGGAAACCACAGTGTTTTCCTGCTATCATCCATGAGGAGCCAGGGAAGACTTCCAAAGGCCCCAAATCTCACCTCCACTCAGACCCTAACCCCTTTCTTCTTCCTTGTCCTCACCCTAAGAGACTCGTGCTCCTGTGCCCGTAAGCCCACAAACCCCTGCAGTTTTCCCATTTTCCTTTCTTATTTTCTCTTACACACACACACACACACACACTACACACACCATCCATGTCCCAGGTGATGAATATATTAAAGTGAACACATGTGCCCACCACTGGGGTCCCAATGGCAGCACTGCCCCCATCATCTGGAGTGCCCACGTCTCCCCCTAGACAGAACTGGATGGGAGGAGTGTGGTGTGTGGGAAGAACTGGCGGATGTCGGGGCTGTTCACAACTGGAGGGGACCCCAGGGGCACCATGCCTGACCCTGGGCTGCAAGGGGGGCTGGTGGGAGCAAGAAGCCAGGAAGGGAAAAAAAGGAAGTCACAGAGACGATGCTGAAACAGGAAGGGACATTTCGAGGACAACATGGAAGCAGTCAAGGCAGCAAGCCCAGAGCTGCGGGGGCAAGCCACAGCTGGGAACTAAGGAGCCAAGTCCCAGCTGGGCAGGGGGGAGGAGGTCGGGGTTTCCCACCTGGGAGTTCCGGGATCGGCAGCTCAGGAGACTCCGGGTGCTCCTCGTTGTCAGTGTTCTCGTCTGTGGAGCCTGCATATGGGTCTTCGCCATTTTCCTCCTGCCCAGGGGCCGGCTTCTGCTCCCTCTGCTCAGCCACCCTGGTGGAGCCAGGAGTGGTACAAGCTGAGCACTCAGAGCAGATCGCCTACACCCAAGGCCAGGTCACCGTAGCCCTAGTCCCCAGCCTACCTCCTCAGCTCATCCTCAGTGTCCCCAGAATCTTCCGCTCCGTTGTCTTGTCCTGTGAGTAGAAGCTCAGCCTGTGAGAGGTGCTTTGTCTTCTGGGAAGCTCGGTAACACCCTCTTCTCAGAATGGCACCCAAGCACAGACCCAGGCATGCCAAACTCAACCTCAACGCCCTCCAGATCCAGTTATCTGGGCCCCAAGGCCCCCTCCTTCCACTTGTCTGGAATCCAGTGATTCCAGGCCCAGCCTCCCTCCCTCAGACCCTGGAGTCCGAGCCCAGCCCCTCTTTCCTCAGACTCTAACCTGACTGGTCCTCCTCAATGTCGGTATCTTCCTGGGGTCCTGGCGAAGCTGTTTTTGTCTCCTCAGGGGTTGGGGGCCTTTGGGGTGAATTGGGTCCAGCTCCCTGGGGGGTCTTGGTTTTGGCCTGGGGGCGTTGAGGGAGGGAGGATTGTGGGTGAGGAACGGGAGCAGAGATGTTGGGGGGGGGTCTGTCCGCAGGGGGCTGGGGCACCACATTGTGCCCCCTCCCAATATGCCCTCCCCCACCCGGGCAGGGGCACCAGACCTTTCGAGGAAGTTTGGGGGCCTCATCCTCACTGCTGCCACTGTGAGAGCCCCCCTCATCCTCGCTGCTGGAGCCAGGCCCTGCCATGAGGTACCTGAGGGAGGAAGGGGCGTAAGATGGGGGAACACCAAGCCCTCCACGAGGAGGGAGATCAAATACTCAGGGTGGGGATCCTGTCCCCTCCCAGCTGGAGAAGGACCCTGGGTCCATCAGTCCAGCACACTCTCCTCACCTCCTCCTTGGGGGAAGAAATGTCTCATTTCAGAGAGGAAAGAAAAATATGAAAAAGGCTTCCCCTCTGAGAGTCAAAATAAATTTCTCACTAGGAAAATGCCACCAATTAAGGGAAAATTCTCAAAAGCAAATACAGTTGGCCCTTTGTAGATCCAAATAACTGTGAATGGAAAATATCTAGGGGAGGGGAGGGGAGGAAGCTCTATCTGTAGTGAACATAAATGTATATCTACTCTGTATATGTGTTTTACCAGGGATTGAAACCAGGGATGCTCTACCACTAAGCCACATGCCCAACCCTTAAAAAATTTTTTATTTTTTATTTTGAGACAGGATCTAGCTCAGCTGCTGAGGCTGACCTTGAACTTTGATCTTCTTGCCTCTGCCTCCAGAGTTGCTGGGATTGGAGGCATGGTCATAGTGCCTGGCTGAACATGTACATATTTTTGTCATTATTCCCTAAACAACACAGTATAGCAAGTATTTACACAGCACTTACATAGTATTAGGTATTATAAGTGATCTAGAGATGATTTAAAATATATAGCAGGATATGTATAGTATGCAAATACTGCAGTTTTATTTTATTGCCTAGGCTGGCCTTGAACTTGGGCTCCTCCTCCCTTAGCTTCCTGAGTAGCTAAGATTATAGGTGTGTACCACCATGCCTTGCCTACAGTTTTATAGATGGGACTTGAGTATGCACAGATCCCCCAGTGTGTGTATGAGTGTTCTGAAACTCAGCCCCCGGCCCCTGATGACACCAAGGGTCCCTGTGTATATTGAAGACCCTGATGCTCTGCATGGTTCTGTATGCAGCGGCTGCCTCAGGAAAGGAACCTCCCAGCTGTAATAACAGCAGTCACAGCTAAGGCTTATGTGGGACTTCATGTGCACCAGGAACTGTTCCAAGTGCCTGGCAAATACTGACTCACTGAATCCTTATGTAGGGGCTATTTTTAGCACCATTTTACAAATGAAGAAACTAAGGCACAAAGAGATATTTAATTTGCTCCCAAATCACAGGGCAGAGCGTGCAAGCAGAAGCGAATACTGCTTCATTAAGACCCTTCATGTATGACTTGGCTGTCTCAAGGTTGGAGAAACAGCACCCAGGTTTATTTTTTGCAGTGCTAGGGAATAAAACCCAGAGTGCATGCATGCTAAGCCTGTGCTCTACCACTGAGCTGCACCTCTACCCCAAAAATGTTTTTTAAAAACCTCAGTTTGTGGCTGGGGCTGTGGCTCAGTGGTAGAGCGCTCGCCTAGCATGCGCAAGGCCCTGGGTTCGATCCTCAGCACCACATAAAAATAAATAAATAAAATAAAGATATTGTGTCCAAACTACAACTAAAAAATAATTAAAAAAAAAAAAAAAAACTCAGTTTGTGATTATGGTAGGGAAATCCATGCCCTGGACTCTTCTATCCTTGAATTTTTAAAATACAACATGTTTTCTGAATTTTTTTGGTTAAAACCCAGTCATAAATCCGACAGTGTTTGTCTTGTTCCATTTTCCTCCGTGTCCTCCTTGGAGTCTCCCAGACAGTGATCCCAATCTGGTTTCTTCTGCCCCAAATGTATCCTAAATCCACCTGCTTCCACCTTCTTTCCATCTCCAAGGCCCCAGTCTCTTCGGGTCCCCATCTGCAGTTTCCCCCGGACACCGCATCCCTAACAGAGCCTGCCCCTGTCCCCCTCAAACCTTCTGTGACTCCCCTCTGTTCATAGAGGAGACGCTTGAGGCGAGATGGGTTTTAGAATTTTGAGTTCTGGTTTTCACAGAGGCAACTGGCAGTATACAGACTGTCACACAACATCCTCAGTTATGGAGCATACTAGAGGGGAGCACCCTCTAGTCAAAGCCATTGATATGTCTGTGGTAAACATGACAGACATCAGGACACACATACACTCACATGGCTCAGGATGCTTGTGCAGCCAAGGGAGTTTGTGCCAAAGCCAGAAAAGAACTCAAGGCTTGCAGACACGTTTAGAGTCCAGGACAAGGTGCAAAAGGTCTGTGGAGCTGGACAGGGCCCAGCAACTCAGCCAAGCTGAACTAACCCCACCCACCTTTCCAGTTTCATCCCCCGACCCCAGACAGTATCCCTTAAAAACAGAAGCAGAGCATAGAGTACAGACCTACTTCCGAACACACTCAGGCCTACAGCACAACTCAAGTCTCCCCTTCTACCCACAAGCCTCAGATATGATCCTACTCTTCTCCAGCTCCAAAGTCTTCCCAGGCTCCCACTTCTCGCAGCCTCGTTTCTCTGCCATTTGCACCTTCCGCTGCAAGCTCAGCGGATGCTCCAGGTAGCCCCACTCTTGTCCCCGCTGCTCAGCAAGTCCTCTGCCTGTGCTCAGAGAGGCAGACCTTTTCTTGTCCCAGAAGATGCCCCCTCTTCCTGGCTTGCTGTGGGTTTCCCGGGGCCTTCCCCCATACTAGGTTTTAATAAGTCTGAACCTCATCGAAGTGAGATGTCTTCAGAGCAAGGCTCAAAGTTAGGTCCCAGCACTGCAGGGCCCAGCGTGGCACCAACCAAGCAGAGGCTTCAGGACCTGCTGTGAATGACAAATGACCAGGCCCCAGTGCTGTCCTCCCACCCAATGCCTCTGTACACGCAGTTCCTGCAGCTTGCAATGTCCTTTTCCTTCTCCACTAGGCAGACTCCCCAGAGCCCTCTGGGACCCTCCCTTCCAGCTCTGTCCCTTGTCTCTGAAGCTGGCTGACTCTGGCTGGAACCACCTGAGCTCTTGGTCAGCATGGGGACGAGGGGCAGGCTTGGTGCGTGTGGGCTGCATGTGTGCAGTGAGGCCTCACCTTCGGGAGGGCAGCCGCCGACGCATGCGGTGACAATCCAGCACCCATTCTTTACACACAATGCGGCCTCCGAGGCCCAAGACCTGGCTGTACTTGGGGGTGTTGGCAAAGGCACAGCTGGTGGGGGCAGAATTGAGGGGTTTGGTTAGGCATGATCTGAGGGGCAAAGGGGAAAAACAGAGGAGTGACAGAGAGGGGGAGAGGATGTAAAGAGAGCGAGTGACACTGGAGACGGAAGGGATGAGAGATAAGACAGATGTAGAAATAAGAGGAGAAAAAGAGGCAGAGGCAGGTGAGTCAGGGAGACAGACAAGCAGCGAGTGGCGGGGAGGTAGAAAGAGACAGCAATGGAGGACAGGGCAGGGCAGGAAGGCGGCCTACATGAGGTGAGTGCTGTCCGGGGTCCAGTCTGGACGATACTTGGCACCCAGCTCCAGAGCCTTGTCCCGGAGCTCTGAGCGGAAGGGGTTCTGGAAGCCACTCAGAACCACCACCACACCCTGAAGGATCTTCCCCAGCTCCTGCGGGCCAGCTCGGGCTCCCCTGGCCTTGGTGCCTTCTCCCCGGGGCTTCCCTGGCACTGCCCCCTGTGCTGCGGCAGGAACGGGGGCCGTGGATGGGGTGCGAGTAGGAGCTGGTACTGGGAAACAAAAGGGTAAAGAGTCAGTTAATGCCCCTGGGGCTAAACGTCCAGCCCCTCCCCCAGGCCCAGGAGTTCACGCCTCAGTCCTCCCTGTCAGACCCTGGAGTCCAGGCCATGTGGAAATCAGGGATCTAGTTAGCTCACATCTGGGTCTCTTGAGGGCAGGTGGTGAGGGCTGGGCTGATGGTTTGTTGGGGATCTTCCTTTCTTCTAGATTCAAATCCAACTTCCTCTTCCCTTTGGGAGACTCCTGAGGCTGTGGGGGTAAGAATGGGCTGAGGCTTCCAGCTTCTTTCCTTCTCCATCCCACCGAAGTCTTGTGATCTCACCTTAGAGGTGCTGCTGACAGGCCTGGAAACTGGGGAGGCGGAGGAGGCCGCACTAGAGGCTTGGAGGGTGGCTGCTGCGTAGCTGGGCCCTGCTGGGTCACTGGTTGTGGCTGCAGAGGGAGAAAGCAGAAGCAGGATGAAAGGGCTGGGCTGAGACCCTTTCACTCCTATCCGTGGGACATACAGTGTCAGTCCTAAAACCCAGCAGTAGTCTAGGGGTCCAGGCCCCGAGCTGTCTTCTCTCAGACCCAGGGGTCCAGCCACCTCCTCTCAGACCTGAGTCCAGGTCCCAACCCTCCATTAACTTAGCACCCAGGTTCCCACACTCACCCGGGGATGTCTTGTTAATCCGGCTGAAGAAGAGAGCCCCTGGCCTCAGGGAACTGGCACTGTCATCCTCCTCCTTCACACGGAACTGGCCAAGCTTGGTCACGGTCACCTTCTAAGGTCCCACAAGTCAGTGCAGTGGAAGGATGGCTGGCAGGTAGGGGTGGAGAGGAAAGGGGTGGCAGGTGGAGCTTACCTGGGATGGGGCCTCTGCCTGGTCTTTATCTGGGGGACTATGAAGCCGTATAAAACTCAGGCCATAGGGGGAGTCCTGGGAAAGCAGGAGTGAAAGTCAGGGTGTATGGGCCAAGGACAGAACCTGGCCCGAAGACCCTTTCACTTAGAAAAGTCCCTTTCTGGCTCTTTCTCTTTTTTTTATATGTATACATATATATTAGTTGTAGGTGGACACAATACCTTTATTTTATTTTTATGTGGCGCTAAGGATCAAACCCAGTGCCTCACGTGTGCTAGGCAAGTGCTCTACCACTGAGCCACACCCCAGCCCTGCTCTTTCTCTCTTAAGAACACAAATGTCTAAGGAGGTGCCCTGTGGATGAGGATGATGATACAGAACTTTGCTGGGCCCTGACTCAGGGTCAGGTCAGCTCTGTGCCCTTGACATGCATTAGCTCCTTTAGCCCTCATAGCAACTGGCGAAGACTGCTGGGCAGCCAAGCGAATTTACTTCCACGTGCTCAAATTCCTACTAGGAATGGGAGGAATGCTGTGTACTACTTCCTGAACTCAGAAATACTCCCAGTTCTCTCCTGCTCTGCCAGCTGGCTGCAGAGCCACAAAGTAGGAGGAGTCGGATCCCCAAATGACCTCACAGAGAGGAGGCAGCTGACCAGCTAAATACCTCCCAGGACAGCTGAATGGCAAGAAGTATCTTTATTGTGCTGGGCTATTACATATTTGGGTCTCACTGTCACCACAGCTGAGACTCCCATATAAATATTAGGAAATAGAGGCCCAGAGATGATAAGTCACCTGCCCAGATTCACATAGCTAAAAAGTGACATAGGCATGTTTTGAACCCAATGGTCAGACTCCAGATCCCATGAGGTTAACTCTAGTCCCTGCTGATGAGTCGTTGCCCCTCCTCCAATTCCTTTCCGATGTGCCACAGTTCACCTTTGCTAGACTCCAGGGAACTAAGCTTCTCAGCACGGGAGGATCCCAAACCCATTTCCAGGAATGCAGGGATCCAGCTTTGCCAACAACCCCATGGGGATAGAGTTGTCCATTCCTCTCAGCCCTCTGGGACTCAGGATCGGCCCCTCAGTTCCCTCCTCACCCAGAACCAAGGGCTCTGCGCCTTCAGTGAGGTACCTTGCTATAGGGCTGGCTGCACACAATCTTGACCCGGTCCCAGCGCTTCTCAGCGGCAGCCCGGACCAACTTGTCAGGCCCAAAAATGCGAACACGGTTGGGATTTGAGCCACTGCGGCTCTCAGAAGGGGACATGAAGGATGAGGTTACCAGAAGGACCTGAGAGAAGAAGGCATGGTGAATGAGAACCAGGGCTGGCTGCTTTAGATGACACCTCCTAGGGGCTAGGCAAGAGGACAAGGGACCCAAGGGTATGTGGTAGGGGACGATTAGACTCTAACTTGAGCCTGGGCAGTTCCAGACCCAGTAAGTATTGACTTGACACAGGTTTCCAAGGTACTTTTAAAATATCTATCTATCTATCTATCTATCTATATCTATATCTATCTATCTATCTATCTATCTATCTATATATATATATTAGTTGTATTTGGACACAATATCTTTATTTATACTTACTTATTTTTTTATGTGGTGCTGAGGATCACATGTGCTAGGCAAGCGTTCTACTGCTGAGCCACAATCCCAGCCCCCACTATCTTTTTTTTTTTTTAATTTATTTGTGGTGATCAAATACGGAGCCTTATGCACACTAGGGCAAGCACTCTACCACTGACCTACACCCCACCACCGACTTCTACCCCCAACCCACAATATAGATATATATGCACGTTTTTTAATTGACTCATATCAATTGCACAGATTTATGGGGTACAGTGTGACATTCAATACATGTAAACAGTGTGCAATGATCAGATCAGGGTAACCAGCACATTTCTTTGCACTGGAAACATTCAAAATTCTCTCTACTAGCTATTTTGAAATGTACAATTAATTCTTGCCAACTGTGATTATTCTGTGCTATGGAGAAGTCATTCTTTATATCCAAATGTAACCCTGCACCCATCAGCCATTCTCTCTCCATCCCTCCACTCACATGCCCTTCCCAGGCTCTAGGAACACTCTTCTATTCTCTATTTCCTATTTGAGATCAACTGTTAAGCTTCCCTCCTTAAGTGAGAACATGTGGTGTTTGTCTTTCAACACGATTTCTTGCAGTACCATCCATGTTGCTGCAAATGACAGAATTTCATTCATTCTTTCTTTTTTTTTTGGTACCGGGGCTTGAACTCAGGGCACTCAGCCACTGAGCCATATCCCCAGCCCTATTTTGTATTTTATTTAGAGACAGGGTCCCACTGAGTTACTTAGTGCCTCACTTTTGCTGAGTCTGGCTTTGAACTCACGATCCTCCTGCCTCAGCCTCCTGAGCCACATACACCACCATGCCCAGCTAGAATTTCATTCTTTTTATGGTGGAATAATATTCCGTTGTGTATATAAGCAATGTTTCCTGTATCTCTTCATCCACTGCTGGATACTGCAATTGATTCCATATCTTGGCTATTGTGAATCATGCAGCAATAAACATGGGGATATGTTTATATTATGCAGAAATATCTTAACATACTGATTTTTATTTCTTGTGGGTATTCACCCAGGAGTGGGATTGCTGGATCATATGGTAGTCCAAAGGACTCTTTCTAACCTCTGGATCTGAATGATCCTTCTCTGAACTCTCCCATGGAGTTTTAACATCAGACAACATGGCAGGCTACATGTCCTAAGGAACTCTCCCAGCAGAGAGTATTCATAGTGACCGGCACAATATTCAAATGCCTTTTGGAAATGCATGGCTGAGTCAGTGGAAAGGCTAAGAGAATTACAGGAGGCCAGAAATGATAAAGCAGAATCCAAAAACGCAGGGAACAGCGTCAATTATTAAGTGATTGCTTCTCCACTCACTCCCACCTCACCCTTGGCACTATGATGTGGGCTGCCCTTGGCGAAGGACATTTCTATTGCCCACTTCACCTTACCTATTGGCTCTGCCAATAGGGGGAGCTAGAGAGAAGGGGAAGAGAAACAGCCTCACTGGGCTGCAAGGTATGAGGAGAGGGCTCTGCTCCTTCTTGTCCATTTGCAGATCCTAGGAGCACACTCCAGGACACAGCTATGAGGATCTTTCCTACAGCTCCAGATTAATCCAGTTTACAGCTTCCTGACATCTGTGGAGCCAGCCTCATCCTGCCTCTCTCAGGGACACCAGAGGCAGTGGATGGGAGAACAACTCCTCCTCGGGGTCTGAGTTTAGGCCTCCCCACATTAGCAACCCCACCTTTGGTTTCTAACCATGTACATTTCATTAACTCCAGCTTCTCCAGTTCCTGTAATCCTAGTAGCTGCTCTCTGCTGTTGCTTCTTAGAGCTCAGGCTGGAAGGAAACCTAGCTACTAATTCTTCACATTACGTTCCCTTTGCTAAAGCAACTGGTGTGGTCTCCTGGTGGGGGCTTGCCTGCAATGGCAGCACTGATTTTTCTGGTCTATCCTGATGCTAATGCCAGTTGGCACAGAACTTGATTTTAAAGGGCCCTGGACTCTGCTTCCTGTGGCCAAGTCCTGAGCTGCTTTCCTCCACCATTCCCTTCTTCCATGATGCTCTGCCTCACCTTGGGCCCAGAGCAATGCTGTCACCCGTCTATGAACTGCAGCTTCTAAAACTATGAGCAGCAAATAACCCTTTTCTCCTTGATATTCTTGTCAGGTCTTTTGCACAGCAGTAAAAAAGCTTAAATGTGTAATCCTTGGTTTTCTAAATGAACCTGTGCCTGTACTGAAAATCAAAGATATAAATAAAGGGCCCTGTGTAGTTTGGTAGAGAAGATAAGACAGAGCCTGGCCCCCAAGCAAAGAAGATGGCATCTCAGAGATCATTGCCACATCACACAGAGCTGGGATCCTCAAAGGGTAACATTCTCAGCAGGTAAATTAGGGGAAATTGTGCCTATGCAAACAATCTGGGAGAACTATCTTGGCCTTCACTGAGAAAAGGAGAAAAATTCTCTCTGGAGAACTCCCAGTCACAAATCTTACTCTCAAACATTTGCAGTTAAAAATTATACTGCCAGGCTGGGGCTGTAGCCCAGTGGTAGAGCGTTTGCCTTGCATTTGTGGGGCACTGGGTTCGATCCTCAGCACCAGATGAATTACCGCCTGACCCAGGGGAACTCGTCTTTGGAGGACTGAATTTCAAAGCATGCCCTGAGAGGATTCCCACAGATATATGTCCAAAGAACAGAAGTCAATGATTAAACACACACACACACACACACACACACACATGCATGCACCTCTGGGATGCAGCTGCCCTTGACTTAGGGTCAGCAGAAACCAAACTTATTCAAATTATAAAACATACAACATAAAAATAACTCTAAATCATTTAAAGAAATAATGGAGTTACTGATAGTATGACAAAGGAACAAAAGACAATCAGACCTGACCAAGACGTTTTGAAAGAGAAGAAGGTGTGTACCCAACATAATGGAATAAATCATGACTGATTCAAACAACCCCATCCCTCTACCAGTGGTTGGACTGTGATCCAGTTCTATCCAGTCAGAGAGAAGAGGAAGGCTGCTTGGGGCTTCTAGAAAAGATTTTCCTTGTTCAATAAAGAGAAACAGAGGAAGGAAGAGGGCTACTGCATTTCTGCCATCCGCCTCCCCTCCCACTTCTTGCTTTGGATGTTACCAAGTGATAGATGGAGCAGCAACTATCATCTTGTGACCATGAGGCCAAATCCAAAAGAATCAAAGAGATGCCAATGAAACACTCTAACTTCATTACGCTGCCAGATCAACTCTGGGCCTGCCTAATGCTAGACCCCCAAGGAAAAGGGGTCCTTCCTTTTTCCTTCCTTAGGAAAGAACAAATTATATTTCCGGATCCAATAAGAAACTTTTGACTGGGTGTATTCTGTTACTTAGGCTCTTTTCTAAATGACACACTGTGAAATTTATAAAATTAGAAAATAAAGGCCTTTTGCTGAGAAAAATGCAGAATATAACTTCATGTCTCTTTGTGGCCAGCTCTGTTTGTGAAAAGAAAACAACAAAGACAAAGAAAATCATAAGAAGGGAAGCTATCACCCTGGCCTTGACTATATTTGCTTATAAAAGGCCTATTCTCAGCTGGGTGTGGTGGTCCATGCTTGTAATCTCCGCAATTCTAGCAGCTGACATGGAAGGATTGCAAGTTCGAGGCCAGCATCAGCAATTCACTGAGGACCTAAGCAACTTAGCAAGACTTTGTCTCTCTCTCTCTCTCTCTCTCTCTCTCTCTCTCTCTCTCTCTCTCTCACACACACACACACACACACACACACACACAAGGGCTGGGGATGTAGTTCAGTGGATGTTCCTGGGTTCAATCCCTAGTACCAAAAACTTAATTTTTTTTTTTCAAAAGGCCTGACTCTGAGGACAGGGAAGCTGAATTTCTCACCTGATGCCTGGAATAAAAGGATAATGCAGACTGTGGCAGCAACTACTGTCCACACTAAGAGGCAGATTTTCCTCTGCGTATCTCCTCCCATTTGACGTAAAGAGACCCACTCTGGTTGTCAGACTTGCACCATCCAATGCTGCCTTTAAGCTTCCAAAATTAAACCTTTAACCTCTAGTCCATACTAACCCCAGAACTCCTTTGTACAGTTTAGATGGTGAAGAAAGAACATGTTGGCTTTATAGAAAATGGCATTGGTTATTGCTATAATGTGCCTCATGCTTGATTTGTAGGTAATGTTAACCTTGACCACACCTGCTCCACCCTTTTACCTTTTCTTTCTTGGTTCTTCCAGCTATATCTAATTTCTCAGTGGAAACCAAGCACTAAGACCCAGAGACCTCAATTCAGTTGTGGCTAGAAGTTGTAACAGAACAGGGCTGGGGATGTGGCTCGAGCGGTAGCGCACTCGCCTGGCATGCGTGCGGCCCAGGTTCGATCCTCAGCACCACATACAAACAAAGATGTTGTGTCTGCCGAAAACTAAAAAATAAATATTAAAATTTCTCTTTAAAAAAAAAAAAAAGAAGAAGAAGTTGTAACAGAACAGAACCAGAGCAGAAACTTAACTAAAAACCTTGAAAGGCCAGGCTTGGTGGCGCATTCCTGTAATTCCAGTGGCTCAGGAGGCTGAAGAAGGAGGATTGAGAGTTCAAAGCCAGCCCCAGCAAAAGTGAGGCACTAAGCAACTCAGTGAGACCCTGTCTCTAAATAAAATACAACATAAGACTGGGGATGTGGCTCAGTGGTTGAACGTCCCTGAGTTTAATCCTGGGTATCTAAAAAACAAACAAGCAAACAAAAAACCAGGCGCCACCAACGCACACCTGTAATACCAGTAAAATGTTTGGTAAAATATTCCAGTGACTAGGGAGGCTGAGGCAGGAGGATCACCGCCAGCCTAAGCAATTTCTCGAGGCCCTAAGCAACTCAGCAAGACCTTGTCTCTAAATAAAATATATTTTAAAAAGGGGGGGGGGGCAGGGGATGTGGCTCAGTGGTTAAACACCCCAGAGTTCAATACCCAGTACAAAAAAAAAGTACAAACACACACACCTTGAAAGAATAAAACTGTTAGCATAGGTGTTTTTGGACCTTGGGAAGACAAAACTCTGAGCTAGCCAGTCCTCCTTTCTAGAAAGGCAAGCAAAGCAAAATAAACATTCACACACCAGATATGATAATCTTAGTTTAAAACGCACTTATTCTGGGGCTGGGGTTGTAGCTCAGTGGCAGAGCACTTGCTTAGCATGTGTGAGGCACTGGGTTCTATCCTCAGCACCACATACAAAAAATAAGCAAATAAAACAAAGGCATGTTGTCCATCTACAACTACAAATACAATTTTTAATGCACTTATTCTGTTTTTATCATTATAAAGAATAACACTGATCTGCCAAGAGGAGAACTTTTTCACAATAGTTTCAAAGACTGTTGACTTATCTCACCTTGAGAATAAAAATGTTTATTATAAGAAACTTCATTTGGTAAAATGTTCCTTGTAGCCAGGAACCATAATCCCAACAACTGAGGCAGGAGTATGAAAGTTCAAGGTCAGCCTCAGCAACTTAGGAAGACCCTGTCTCAAAAAAAAATAAAAAGGGCTAGGGATATAGCTCACGGATAGAACTATTCAATTCCCAGTATTGAGAAAGAAAAAAATTCCCAATACAACAGAAAATGTTGATAAAATTGAACATGCTTTTGTAATTTAACAAAAAGCTCTCAACTGGAACAGAAAAAAACTTCCTCAGATTCACATCTAAAATATATATATATATATATATATATATATATATATATATATATATATATATATATATATATATATATTCAACCAACCAAACCAGCCTCAGCAACTTAGTAAGGCCCTGAGTAATCAGTGAGCCCCTGTCTCCAAATAAAACATAAAAGAGGCTGTGGATGTGGCTCAGTGGTTAAGAGCCCTTGGGTTCAATTCCCGGTACCAAACAAACAAACAAACCTACAGTCATACTTAATGGTGAAAGACTCAATGCTTCCCCCTTAATATCAGGAACAAGGCAAGGGTGTTCACTTCACCACTTCCATTTAACACTGCACTAGAGATACTAGTTAGTCATCATGGCAAGATGAGAAAAAGAAAGAGTGGAAAGGAAGCCGGCATGAGATCCACACCTATAATCTAAGCTACTCAGGAGGCTGAGGCAGGAGGATTGCGAGTTCAAAGCTAGCCTGGGCAACTTAGTGAGATCTTGACTCAAAATAAAAAGGGCTGGGGATATAGCTCAGTGGTAAAGCACCCCTGGGTTCAATTCCCAGTGGAAGGAAGGAAGGAAGGAAGGAAGGAAGGAAGGAAGGAGAGAGAAAAGAAAAAGTCTTTGTTTTTAGGAAAAACTCACTGAAATATGCAGGAATTAAGGAGCATCATACAATTTATGATACTCACTTCAGGAAAAAATATGCACGTGGGGCTGGGGATGTGGCTCAAGCGGTAGCGCGCTCGCCTGGCATGCGTGCGGCCCGGGTTCGATCCTCAGCACCACGTACAAACAAAGATGTTGTGTCAGCCGAGAACTAAAAAATAAATATTAAAAAATTCTCTCTCTCTCTCTCTCTCTCTCTCTCTCTCTCTCTCTCTCTCTCTCTCTCTCCCCCCCCACTCTCTCTTTAAAAAAAAAAAAAAAAAAAAAAAAAAAATATGCACGTGTTAACTTTGGGATCTCTAGTGCTGGGGATATAGCTCAGTTGGTAGGGTGCTTGCCCCGAGTACACAAGGCCCTGGATTCAATCCCCAGCACCACAAAAAAACAAATAAAAACAACTTTGGGGACTCTAAGTGAAGAGTATATGGAAATTCTTTGCACTACTTTTGCAACTTTTCTGTAGGTCTGAAATCAATCAACAAAGTAATTGACAAGCTTTTTATACTTTATATGGAAATAAATGCAAAGATCTTAAATAGCCCAAAAGAATCTTGAAGGAGGCTAGCATTAGAAGTCCAACACAACTTGATTTCAGCATTTACTTTTTCTATTAAGACAGTGTGGTGTAATCCCAGCAGCTCAGGAGCTGAGGCAGGAGGATTGCGAGTTCGAAGCCAGCCTCACCGAGTTGAAGATCTTATGATGAGGGAGATTGCCCAGGATTATCCAATGGGCCCAATGTCATCATGAGTTTCTCTTCTCTTTTCTTCTCAGAGATGAAGTCTTGCTATGTTGTCTAGGCGGTCTTGAACCCCTGGGCTCAAGGGATCCTCCCACCTCAGTCTCCCAGAAGCTGAAAATACATGTATCAGCATGCCCAGCTCATCACAAGGGTCTTTTTATAAGAAAGAGGCAAGAAAGCCGGAGTCAGGGCAGAAATGATGATGGAAGCAGATGTTACAGTAATAGGAGTATTAGTTTAGATGGAAGAGGCCAGCAGGTGGCCCCTAGAAGCTGGAAGAGACAAGAAGATGAATTCTCCCCTGGAGCCTCACAAAAGAACGCGTCCTGCCAATACTTGATTTTCGCCCAGTGAGACGGATTCTAGCCTTCTGATGTCCACAATTGTAAGATAATAAATTTGTGTTATTTGAAGCCATTGAGTTTGCAGTGATTGTTACAGTAGTGCCAGGAAACTCACACAGAGACCATTATTACTCTGGGCATACAATTATTTCCTGAAGGACACAAAAGACACTAAGCATTTAAAATAATAAAAATAACCCTTGAGAGGCTGGACTTCCTCAGCTTCTGCTCAGCAAAAGGCACTGATAACGTAGTTCAGTGGCTGAGTGCCTGCCTAGCAGGTGCACGGTTCTGGATTCCCTAGAGCCATTGCCCCCACACATGTGCACTGAAAAGGCAAATCACAGATAAAAAGACAAAATAAAGAACAAGCCAAAGACGTGAGTAGACACTTCATAAGAAAGTACATGAAATGTATATATAGTTTTTACTTTTCAGGAAAGTGTAAATCAAAGCCACTAAGCATCATTTGAATGCTTAAAAATAAAAATAAAAAGACTGCCAATACCAATAACAATAGGCAAAGATGGGGGGCAACTAGAACTTTCAAACACTGCTAAAGGGAACAGAAAATGGTACAACCACTTTGGAAACCTGTCAATATCTAATAAGGTTAAAATATATTTACTCTTAAGACTCCACAATTCAACTTGTAGGTATTATCCAAAATAAATGACAACTTATCTCCATACGGAGACTTCTACAAGAATGTTCATAGAAGATTTATTCCTAATAGTGAAAAACTGAGGGCTTTGGGGGTGTAGCTCAGTAGTAGAGCATTTGCCTACCATGCAGGAGGCCCTGGGTTCCATCCCCAGTACCACAAAATGAAAACAAAATCAAAACTGGAAATAGCCCAGATGCCTACCAACACGAGAGCAGATAAACAAACCGTGGAATATTCCTATAATAGAATGCTATTCAGCAACAAAATGGAACAAACCACTGGTATCTGCACAATGTGGATTACATACAAAAGAGTATGTAATGTGAAAGAACCAGTCACCAAAAAGATACACTCTGCAAGAGTCCACTGACATGAAATTAGTGGTGAGGAAAACCTATCTATAGAGACAGAAAATAACTCAGAGCTTGTCTTAAACTGGAGTCAGAAGCGTGGACTGTGAGGGGACACAGGGAACTGTAAGGAATGCTGGAAATGCTTGGGGGACTTTTATACTGCATATACATATTTCAAAACTTTCCCCCTGTACATCCAGGTCTAAGCATTTCATTGTATACAAAATATACCTCAATTAAAAACTTTTCCTATAACAAATGTATCTTGTAGAAAACTGGTTTGTTCACTCAGACTTTGTGAACAGTAGGTTTATTTCTACCCGCCCCTGATTAACAAGCTGAATAACTAGCACCTTACAAATCCAGTTCTAATAACTCAACCAGCGAAAAAGGGACCGTGTAAGCCAGGAGCAGTGGCAGCACCTTAGTTCCAGCTACCCGAGAGGCTGAGAGGGATGGCTTGAGCCCAGGAGTTCAGGGACAGACTGGGCAACACAGCAAGACCACATCTTTAAAACATTAAAAAATAAGACATCTGTAATAGAGCTAAAGGCATTCCTTCTTGTAAACATTTGTTGCAAATGAGATGCCTAACAGAGGCGTCCCAAATGATGCAGAATCTTAAATGCCAGGAAATCTGGGAGAACCTTGGGGACCTGACAAGAGCAGCTTTGCTCTCAAGCAGCAACTAAACTCCAGAACCCAGCGAGAGCCTCTGGTTTTTTATGCAACATGACATAAGCAACTGGGCTCTTCCCTTGTGGCCCTTCATCACCCCATGTCTGCTCTTTGTCTTCTCTGCACACCTGGCAACCCTCCAGAAGGCAGCTAAAGGGTATGACTTCACCCTTGCAAGGAACGCCCGAGGCCCTACAGGGACAGGCAGAGGTCAGCATCTCCCAGTCCAGCTTACCTCATAGTCTTGCTCACCAGCCCCTCCAGCCGAGCTGCCCACCAGCACCTCCACAAAGGCTGAGCCATCATTCCCGATGTCCACGCTGTGTATCTGCTCCTCCTTCTCCAACTGTGGGCAGGGAGAAAGGCCACCATCAATGTCTGCTCTACCTTTGGGCCTGCTGTGGGACCAGAGACTGAAAAAGAGATAATCCCCATTTGGGCTGCCATGTCCCCTGGAATATCATCTACGTGTCAATGGGGACCAGGGCTGTCAATGGGGAGCAGTGCCACTGTATTCCTGCGTGTTGGATAGGGCATGGCACGAACCAGGATATTCACCAAGCGAATGCATCTGTCTTCACCCCAACACAAGTGCTTCCTTGGCTCTTCAGACTCCACATGCCACATTTATAACTTCATTGAACTCATCACACAGAGTCCACGGAAGCTCCCAGAATAGACGGATGGATGGATCAAGGCTTGTCCAGTTTTGCTCATTACTGATTCCTCGGTTTGAATCCCAGATCTGCCACACACTAGCTGTGTCACCTTGCTGGCTAACCTCTTGGAGCCTCAGTTTCCTCATCTATAAAACAGGGCTGATCACACTGAAGACCGTGCACATAAATAACATGGTCACAGGGCATAGCACATAGTAGGTGCTCAACCATTGTCAGTTAGGAAGCATTAGTAATTGATGCTGGATAGTTATTTGTTAAAAGAAAGGAAGACCTATCTATAATAAGAACTCCCTCAGGATCTGCTATTCCTTCCTGACAGCTGGAGCTGCACAGAGCCGTGCAGGGGTGGGAGCAGTCAGGAAATGCTGATGCAAACCTCCTGCCTTCCGGCTAGGGGCTCTTTCACTAGGACCCCAGAATATTGAGTTATTATAGCCTTCAAAGATCCCTAGTCCACCACCCTCTGCTGCCCTGCCCTGTCCCCAGGGACTATCTGCTGCTTCCATCTCCTCTCTCACCTTCCAGTCAGGAAGTCACCAAGACTTCGTTTGCCTGATGTGACAAAAAGGAACATGGCTTTATGGGAGGAAGGAGCCTGAACTTGGGGTGAGGCAGACCTGGGTTCCAAACCTAGCCCTGTCATTTCCAATCTGAATCCAACTTCTCTGAAAAGCAGTTTCCTCACAGGCAAACGGGAAGGGTCAGCACAACAATCCTTCTCCTGAAGGGAGAGGAGACGCCCAGGCAAAAACTGCAATAAATGCAGCCAGCACCTGAGTGCTCGCAAGGTGCCACACGGGCAAGAACAACACAAGCAGCCACTCGCCTCACTGCGCTCTGCCAGGCAGGTGCTATAATTATCTCCAACTGAGGAGCCACAGACAGGAAGCACGTACGTAAGTCACAGCTGGTGCGGGCAAAGCCCCAGGGAACCCAGGCAGGCTGGCTACTGAGTGCGTGCACTCCTGCACCACAGCACTACCGGGCGGAGGAAGAGGCACCAAGGGCAGGGCCTTCCCAAGGCTCAGCCCTGCTGGCCTCCTGCAAGCCAGGTCACCTCCTCCAGCCACACGGGCTGCTTCCTGTCCAGGAAAGGCTGGCTCCTGCCCTCCTCAGGGTCCTCGCACATGCCCCTCCCCCCTTCCCCCAGGTCACTCTTCCCCCACTCCTTCACATTGCTAGCACCTTCCACCCTTTAGGTCTCTGCTCAAATGTCACCTTTTCAGACTAAAGGATTCTCCCTCACCTCCTACCAGGAACCACTTTCTATTCCTAAGCCACTTGGTATTCCCCACTTCAATTTTTTTCTTGGTTTATATTAGCTAACATTTGTCCCCCTCACTAGACTTCTGGTAGTGCTGGGGGTGGAACCCAGGGTCTTGTGCATGGTAGGCAAGTGATCTACCACTGAGTTACTTCCCACACCAGACATTGTTTTAAGATTTTTTTTTTTTTAAGATGGACACGACATCTTTACTTTATTTATTTTATGTGGTGCTGAGGATCCAACCCAGTGCCTCACATGAGCGAGGCAAGCGCTGTACCACTGAGCTATAACCCCAGCCCCACACTAGACTTTTAACCCCATTAAAGCAAGGACAATGTCCGAGTTGTTCCAAGCTGTGTACCAATGTCAAGAACAGGGTCTGGGACTGGGGCTGTAACTCAGTGGTAGAGCACTTGCCTGGCATGTGTGAAGCACAGGGTTCGAGTCTCAGCACCACATATATATAAAAAAATTTCACTGAAAACCAAAAAAATATTTAAAAAAAAAAAAACAACAAGGTCTGGTCCTTCCCAGTTCTGCTCGCTTACTGCCATGTGATCCTAGAGCAAAAGATTTCATTTTATCCCTGCTGCTTGCTTCCTAACTTGTAAAGTAGGGACAGTCTACCTCAAGGGTGGTATTCTTTTCCTCATAAGTAAAAACACTTGTACAGGGAAGGGGCCCAAACAGTTATCAACCAATGAATGGATCAACATTGTGTAGCATATTTTTCTTATTTATTATTTTTTGTCTTTCCTTTCCACTGTATAATGTATTAATGGAATATTATTCAACTAAAAAGAAAGATGAGCTGAGGGTGTGGCGCAGTGGTAGAACATGCTATAACTTGACGAACTTCAAAAACATTACACTAAGTAAATGAAAGCAGACATGAAAGACCACATGTACATTTATACGAAATGCCAAAAAGGCAAATCCATAGAGATAGAAAGTAGATCAGTGGTTGCCAAGGGTAATCTGGGGATGACATGTAGGAAGTGACTGCTTAATGGTTATGTGGTTTCTTTTGGGGATGATGAAAATAATCGGAGTTAGAGCGTGGAGACTCTGTCAATATACTAAAAACCACTGGATGATACATTTTAAGTGGTCAGAGTGGTGCATTTTATGTTGTGTGACGTTTATCTCAAAAAAGGAAGGGAGTTCTCAGGAAGGGTCATCTGTCAGAAGAAAGTTCAAGCACAGGGTGACCGTCATCTGCAGCCCAGGTCTGTGAGAATGCTCTTTTCTCAGGAAGACACAAAGCACGAGAGGGAAACAAATAATATACAGAAGTTTCTGAGAGACATATTGTAAAAAAAACATTACATGAAATGTAATGTTAAACACTATTTAAAAGAATAGGGGGGACTTTATATAAAGTGACAGTGGGATTGCATGATACAGTTCTTCATTAAAAGAAGAAAAAGAGGGGCTGGGGTCATGACTCAGTGGTAGAGCACTCGCTTAGCACATGTGAGGCCCTGGATTTTATCCTTAGTACCACATTAAAAAATTTTAAAAAATAAAATAAAGGTATTTTGTCCAACTACAACTAAAAAATAAAATATTTTTTAAAAAAGAAAAAGAAAAGAAAGCAAGGAGAACAGTCCATATACAGTGTGTGTATATGTGTGTGTGTGTGTTACCAGGGATTGAACTCAGGGGCACTTGACCACTGAGCCACATCCGCAGCCCTATTTTGTATTTTATTTAGAAACAGAGTCTCACTGAGTTGCTTAGTGCCTCACCACTTTCAACTCACATCCTCCCAACTCAACTTCCTGAGCTGCTAGGATTACAGGCGTGTGCCACTGCACCCCGCATATACTGTGTATTTTTTATTTCCTTATTTATTTTCCAGTGCTGGGGATTAAACCCAGAGCTTCACACTGGGTTTAGGCATGTACTATACCACTGAGCTACACCCCCAGCCCCAATTTTTTTTTACACTACATATTTTTTTAAAAGGAGTGGAGAAGGTAGTTATATACACTTGTATATGTACAGAACAAGCCAGGCAGAAAACAATGAACTGCTAACAGTGAGGCCCTGGGTAGCAGGAGTGACTGGAGGGAGGAGGAAACATATTGGAGGGACAGGGAGATATTCTTTTTTCAAAAAGTAAAGATAATAAAACTATACTGGTTATGTCCACAGAATGGAATGTTATATAGAAATGAAAAGGACCCATCTCTAGGTACACCCAACACCACAGATGACATTCACTATGTAGAGCACAAGAGGCCAAACATGTACTGCACAATTCCACTTATGGAGAACTCAAATCATGCACAACTAATCCATGCTGTTAAATATCAGGACAGCCAGGAGTAGTGGTGCACAATTGTAATCTCAGTGACTCCAGAGGCTGAGGCAGGAGGACTGCAAGTTCTAGGATAGCAAAACCTGTAGCAATTTGCTGAGACCCTATCTCAAAATAAAAACTAAAAAAGGACTGTAACTCAGTGGTAAAGTGCTCCTGGGTTCACTCTCTAGTACCAATAATAACAATTATAATAATAGGGCTGGGGTTGTGGCTCAGTGGTAGAGCACTCACCTAGCACTTATGAGGCACTGGGTTTGATCCTCAGCATCACATAAAAATAAATAAACAAAATAAATGTTAAAAATAATTATAATAATAAAAATTAAAAAATAAAAATCCACGACATTGGTAACCCTTTATGGGGGACAGTGACAGGAAGGAGCATAAAAGGACTTTGAGGGTCAGGCAGATTCTGTACTTGACTTGGCTGTTGAGTATATAGGCTCAGTTTGAAGATTCATTGAACTCTACACTTACAAGTGCAATTTGTTATGTGTATGTTACACATTTAAAACAAACCAAAACAAAAGGTAAAAATGAATTAAAAACACTACAGTCATGAACTGAGTGATTAGGAAACCATCCAAAACCAAAACCAAGATGTGTGTCACCACGCTGTTCGACATTGCTTCTAAAGAAAGCGCCTCCACGGCGCACAGGGGTTCCCTCTGGGTCATGTGCTGGCCATGCCCTCCAGAGCAGGGAGAGCTGCTCCTCCAATCTCTCCAATGGAGTCCCTGTCTCCTCCCCAGAGTGGCAGGCAAAGAGGTTGAACTCCTTGCCTTGGGAGCAGGTGACCAATTGGTGACAAACCTCCTATAGCTGCTACCAAAAAAAAAAAAAAGTGTGTGGGGCCATCACAAGCAGAGGGGGCTGAACCCTGTAGCAATACCCAGATGTTGCATAAGATGTTTGGAGATGTAGTAGAAAACCCACAGAGAAGACTACTGCCTCGATGTCCAAAAATTTCAGCCTTATCATTCACTTCCAAAGAACCAAAATTAGCACTGGGTGAATTCAGAGCTACCCTGCATTTTGACAACTGTCAGATGCAATCAGATTTCCTCATTAAAGACGTTAACAACTGACGTGGCGCTGGGTGCTGGTCTCCCTGCTGCTCTGCCTGGCCCCTGGGGTTTATTCTCAACATGGAATCAGAAGGATCCTGTGAAGACTTAAGTCAGATCCTGACCCTCCTCTGCTCAGAGCCTTCAGCAGCTCCCATTTCACCCAGAGTAAAACCTTAAGTCCTTACAATGATTTTCCAGGCTTACCCCACTAGCTCGTCTCCTATTTCGTCACCCTGGCTAACCCCACTCCAGCCATCTGGGCCTCCTTGTGCTCCTCCAATGTATCCAAGGGAGTCTCTGGCTCCTTCCCAGATATGTGCACAGCTCACTTTTCTCCAGTGTCACTTTCTTGGACACTGGAGAAATGTGTAAATAAAAAATTTTGGGTTACCAGCCCTCCCCTGCTGGGCACCCCCATTCCCCTTAATTGTCAAATCCCTTTCACTGCACTCATCTGATGTCGGTTCTGTTTATTGGTTTATTTTCCATCTTTCTGTACTGGCATAACAGTGCCACAGGACTAATTTTTTTTTTGTGGGGGGGCTAGTGCTGATCACTGCTATACAGTCCCAGGGGCTAAAACAGTGCTTTGTCTACAGAAAACACTTAATAAATACTTGTAGAATAAATAAGTAAATGAAAGAACTAATAAATCTGCTTACCCTGAGAGTAAGAGCTAGTCTTCACGGTGACAACTTTTTTTTTTTTTTTTTTTTTGGTACTGGGGATTGAACCCAGGGGTGCTTAACCACCGAACCACATCCCAGCCCTTTTCATTTTTTATTTAGAGACAAGGTCTCGCTAAGTTGCTTAGGGTCTTGCTAAATTGCTGAGGCTGACTTTGAACTCCAGATCTTCCTGCCTCACCCTCCCAAGCTGCTAGGATTACAGGCGTGCGCCACTGCACCCAGCCTCAGTGACAACTTCTATACCTCTATTTCCAGCTTCAGATCTGATCCCTAATACCCAAAATTATATCAAAATTTCACATCCCAGTCAAAATGCATCACCTTCCCAATCTGCTCCCACTCTGGGTTTCCTATTTCAGCGACAGCTGCAATACTCCTCCAGCCTCTTCCAGGCCAATAATTCCTGTGCCTTGGCCCTCTGCCTCCCTCTCGCTCCATGACTTGTCTCTTCTGCCTCCATTTCTCTGTTCCTACTTCAGTTGTGTGAACAGAACTGAATGTCATTTTCCTATGGTCACCTGATCATAAGGAAGCCCAGTAGAGTCATCACCCCATAATAAAACCACAGATCCCTCCCTTTGTACAAACACCTACATGTTGACAGAGCACTTCTGCAGACATTATGTCACCAAATTTTCACAACCACCTGGTTTTGGATGTCATTATTCCCAATGGACAGATGAGAACAGGTTAAAAGAAATGAAAAAATTTGCCTGAGGTCACAGAGTGAGTAAGCTGGGATTTGAATCCAGGTCCCCAAACTAAAATCATCATCAACCTCGAGCTCCCAGTTTAAAAGACTGGCTCTCAGGCAAGTTACATAACTTCTCTGGCCCTCAGTTTCCTCATCTATAAAATGGGAATAAAAACAGACCCTAGGTCATGGCATTTTTATGAGGATTCAATGAATTAAACCATGGGAGGCTGGGCATGGTGGAATACACCTATAATTCCAGCTACTCAGGAGATTGAGGCAAGAGGATCCTAAATTAGAGGCCAGCCTTGGCAACTTAACAAGATCCCTTCTTCAAAAAAAAAGGTGGGGGGGGGCAGATATAGTTAGTGGTAGAGCACCCCTGGGTTTAATCCCCAGTACTGCAAAAACAAACCAACCACATGGGGTATGTAGAATGATGACTGGCAGGTTGTAAAACGCTGAATAATGCTAGTTTTCATTATTATCTTTATGTTAGAGATTTAGGAGATGCTTAAATACCTAAAATAAGTCAGAAAATATTATGGGTCTGTGTATTTTTCCTGGGAAGAGAATCCTCAGCTTCTACTCTCAAAAGGCTCTCTGACTTGGCACTGAGCAAAAGAGAGACCAAGAATATGTTCAGTACTCGGCATGCACCTATAATCCCAGCTACTTGGGAGGCAAAGGCATGAGGATCACAAGTTTGAGGGCAATCTCAGCAAATTAGTGAGACCCTGTCTCAAAACAAAAACTAAAACAGGCTGGGGATATAGCTCAGTGCTCCCTTGAGTTCAATTCCCAGAACCCCCCCCCCAAAAAAAAAGAAAGAATATGTTCACAAATAAGCCTTGTTCCTACCAACAGCCCTCCCAAACACTCCTCCATTCAGAACTAAGGAATGTGGCTGGCATCAAGAAAGCCACTGTGTGGAGCTGGGGGGTGTGGTTCAGTGGTACGGAACCTACTTAGCATGCACAACACCCTAGGTTCAATCCCCAGAAAGGGTGGGGGTGGGTAAAAGCCAGTTTATGAAAACCATGTAATATGATAAAGTGGTTAAAAACACTACTACTCAGTTGTGATCTCAAGTCTCAACACTGTCATTTAATAATGGTGAGAATGACCCTAGAAGTCATTTGTTAGTGGTGAGAATGAATCATACCACTCAATCATATCAGGGCACCACCTGACAAAGGGCAGATTTTTCAAACCTACTTAGCTCTCTTCTCCCACCAGTGTCTTATCCCTGACAGAACAGCCTACTTGGAATTCTGTAACTATCTCAGGCCAAACCACCCTTTCTAGCCTGCCTCCCTCCAAATTCACAGGTCTGTGGCCGTGAACTCAGTGAAAGCATATACAAAAAGCACTCAGAATGAAACCAGCCCGCATTCCAGATATGGTAGCTTAGACTGGCCACTTCATTTCCTTTCCTTAGGCTTCAGTTTCACCCTCTTTTAAATGAAGTTGATTTGCTAAATGACCTTCCTGGATACCTTCTAACCTTGAGCCCACTGATTTTAGAAGGCAGGTACATGGCAATGATTAAATTACACTGAGGAAACTGAGGTCAAAGCAAGTGGGAACAACCTGCTGAGGGCCACAGAGTGATTCCTAGGGTCATCTCTTGGCCTAGTGCTCGTGTCTCCTTTTCTTCTCTGCTGAGGGAAACAGGGATTGCACTTGCCCATCTCCCAGGGAAGGAAGCTGAGGCCTCAAAGGGAAGGAGACTCAACGCACTGCCAGATGGCTCAGCAGAATCTGGACCTTGGGATTCTATACCCCCAGTCAGTAGGAGGAAAGGGGAGGGCAGGATCACCTGCAGCACCACCGAGATGGTCTTTTCACCAGCCTTGGCTGCCCGCCATTTCCGGTAAGTGTCAGCCTTGAGAAGGTTCTCTGCACAGTGGGTCTGGAGACAGGAGGAAAGGAGAGTTAGGGCGGAGATGAGAGCTCGGCCCTCAGCTTTCAGATCACTCCTCTGAGTCCTCCCAAGCCCTCTAGGCTGCCCCGGACTTAAGTTACCCCGTCTGTCCCCCCACACCCCGCCTAGAGTTTCCACTGGAATTTTCCCTCTGGAAGTTAGCTATGGGTTTCCCTATTCCTCCATTTCTCTCCGGAAGTTCCAAAAGTTCAATTCCACATTTCTCTCAGAATTCATTTACAGTCTCTGGAAACCCCATGCCCTTCCTTCGACTTCCATGAAGTTCCCTTTTAGACCCCAAAGTTCTTACGGGGCCCCTTTCACTAATTCCCTTGCATCTTCCAACCTCCCCCACGCCGGTCCCTCACCGAGTCCTGGCTGCTGCAGGACACGACGTGGCGGAGGCGAATCTCTGGCATGTCAATGTCGGGGGCTTCGCCTGGACCGGAGGATGAAGAAGGGTCCTGGCTTGGGGGCGGGGAGGGAGGGCGCCCTGCGCGGGCTTAAGTGCGCAAGCGCGCGAAGCTTGGGCCTTTCAAACCGCGGCGCGCCGACGCTCGCGTCGACACCGCGCAAGCCCAGATGAATCTCTTCGGGAAGAGGCTCTGCGTTCCCTAGCAACAAGCTTTCTCTCTCCGGCCCCGCCTCTCTGATCCAACCACTCTCCAGCTCCGCTTCCTGATGACGTTAACACCTTGCTTTCCGGGCGCCTAGCAACTGGGGCAGCCTCAGGGATTGGTGCCTAAAAGAAATTCGCCATTCTCATTGGACGACGTAGTCACCGCCCAAACTGAAGCTTAGAAGGCAGTTCACACGGATCCTGGAACCTTGTGAAACAGCATCTCCTCCACCTGTTCTGAGGCTGCACTCTTCCTCTCATTTCCCTGAAAACACACACACACACACACACACACACACACTCACACAAGATAAAAATCTCAGATCCCTTTTTTGGGGGGACTGGGGTGGTGGCTCAGTGGTAGAGCGCTCGCCTAGCACGTGTGAGGCACTGGGTTCGATCTTCAGCACCACATAAAAACAAATAAATAAAATAAAGGGTAAACAACAATAAAACAACTCAGATCCCTCTCAGCCCAATTCCTGAGGCCAAGAGAAGGAGGAAAGGATAGAACACAAGCACGTTTCCAAACCATACACAGCCAGCCTAGAGTGCTTCTACAAATGCCTCAGTTTCCCAATATGTGACCTGCGGGCATTTGTCTTCTACCACGCCCGCACCTGACCCCTGACAAGTGCCTCTCTGTTCATCCCCTCAAGACCCAGGGAGTCAGCCCTGGGTGGGGTTGGAACAGCAGACAGTCCAAATACAGAAGAGGGAGTATGAGCCAAGAATGCAAAGGAGAAGGGAAGGGAGACAAGGCGTTCAGCCCCCACAGGACTAGTCTGGACATGCTAGGTGCTCCCAGGTAGGACCCCACCCACGCTGGGCGCCTCCTTGAGAAGAGAGAGGAGATGGGGCGAGGGAATCTCAGTCTTTGCAGGTGTTTTATAATTCACAGGAAATCAAGTAATTGGACCGACCTTGAGTTTAGGGGAGGGGTTGAAAGTGAGAAAACAGGGCAGAGTGACCTGGGTCCTGATGGAAGAGGTGACAGGAAGACTCCTGAGGTTCCCGTGGAGAATTGATCTGGACACAAGGTGAAGTCCCTTTTGGATGTTGGTCCCGCCTCTTCAACCTGGAGGCTTCAGAGGACTGCCCTGGGTTCTGACCTCAACTATTTCTCACCCCAGGGTGAAGGTGGGTCTGGATCCGCCCCTCCTCAGCTTCCTATAAGGGCAGAGGACCAGGGACTGCAGGTTCACACACCATGAGACCATCCACAAGACAGGGGACCTTTCTGCTGGCCTCCACTGTGCTCTGCACCCTCTTGGATCTCGGTAAGTGACAAGGGACCTGGACTCCTTCCTGGGACCCCAGCAAAGAGAACTGTGAGAGAGAATTCAGCAAGGTCTTCAAGGAGGAAAGAGGAGGTACCCTGGGAATTCAGATTTATGGAGGAGGCAGAGGAGGCAGAGAATAAGAAGGAGGAAGCCTGGGGCCTCAGGAGAAGAAAAGCTCACTGTGGTTAGAGCCCGAGAGAGGGGGCTTGGTGGGCTTTGAATCCTCTGTCTATAGACAGGGTCCCCAAATAAGACATCTGAATTCTAGAAAATCAGAGGAAAGCACGACTAGAAAGGGAAATTTAAAAATAAATAAATAAGAGAGATGTCCTTTCTTTCTGGACTGAGTTCAGACACCTTGCCTCCTTCTTCAGAGAGATGCAGGAGTCCAGGACAGCTTCACTTTTCCTAGGGCCAGGTGTTTAGGTAGAGTTGCCTCCTCTCTTAGGACCAAGGAGTCCATGCTCTCAGTCCTTCCTGGTCCTCACTCTCTCACCTTGCCCTTGGACGCAGACCCCAGCCTCAGGTACCCTACCTGAACTCCTACCATCTATAAGACCTGTGCAGTACCTGTGCGAGAGTCCCACACCCAAGAACCAGCTGGACCTGAAGTTTTACCAAAGTCCGTGAAAACCTTTGGCACGACCCCTCCCTGCCCCCGAGCTTGCACAAAGGACCCTGGCGTCCAAAGTCCCCAGCCTTGTAATTAAGGAAACAGGCTCCAAGTCAGAGTCGCTTCCCGCCCCTGGAAGCCGCTTTGCTGGCAGCACCACTGCTTCCTTGTCACTCTGGACAGTTCCCTGGACAGAAATCAAGGCCCCACCCTTGAAAACATAGGGAGACGCTGGGCCTTCCTCCATCAGGACCCCAAGTCCTCCCCCGACCCGACCCTTTAAACGCCAAAGTCGAATTCATGGACTGCGGTCCACGCCACTTCTGACTACAGACTCGCCCTCTACCCTGCAGGATGGCCTCTAAGCTGTGAGGTGTGTAAAGGCTCCGGGCACACGTGCAGCGGCAAAATGAAGACTTGCGAGGCTGGCAAGGACGCATGCGTGGTTCTCGTGAGCGAGTCCAGCACAAGTAGGAGGGCGCGGCGTCAAGCCCCCCGCAGGGAGGGCGTGCTTTCTGGGTAGAGGGTACCTCCGTCCGGAGGAGGGATCATCACAGTTCTCAGGACAGGTGAAGCGTGGGAAGAAAATCAGAGGAGGGCAGGAAAGAGGGAAAGACCTTAGGAAGATAATTGAGTGATGCGATGGAAACTATTGAGGTAAGGGATTCTGAAGATGCCACTGTCCAAAGGAGAAGATGGTGGTGGTCAGGGAGCTAGGTGAGGTAAGGACATGAGGGAAAGAGAGCGAGAGGGAACGAATCTAACAGGCAAGGGGTAGAAATATGGCAGGGGTAAAGAAGGAAGAGGCTGTGTTGGACTCAGGGAATGTGATCAGGGAAGAGACCAAAGACCGGAGGAGAGACGATGTTGGGTTAGGGGGAGAGACAGAAAAGCGACCACCCCAGAGTGGAGAGAGGTGATTCTGAAGCTGGAAGCAAATCTTCATAAGGAGAAGTAGAAATGGAGGAGTGGAGAAGCCCATGAGTAAAGTGGAAGGGAGAGAGGGGGCATGATTTAGAGCCCCACCCACCCCCAGATCTGAGAAAGAAGAGGGAGACAGGGAGCAAGGGAAGCCAGTCCCCTCCCTCCCTCCCCGGGGCAAGCAGCCACATTCATTCAAAGCTGAAAGAGACCCTTAGTCACAGGAGTAGAGATGCTGGGGACCTAGCAAGGGAATGATGGCTGCTGCAGATGAAGGTCAACTTTGCGATCAGGAAGAAACTATCTGGGGAGGAGGGGATGTGAGTGGAAGTTGGGATAGAAGATTGCTATATTGTCCTGTCCACCCAGCAAGCTCTGGCGGGTGAAGGAAGGACCCAAGAGTCTTGAAGACACCTCCCCAGGCATATAGGTGGGAAATGGACCTTTGGTCAGGGGAAGAAGCAGCTGGGGAAGAGCCAGCCCTCAGAGGGGTACAGAGGGGATAACTTTGAATTTTGGGAGGGAGGCTGTGTAGACTGGAAGAAACCACACCAGACAAGACCTGGGACTAGCCAGGAGGGACAGCAAGAGACCAACGATGGGAGGAGTTCTGGCGAGTAACCATGAAAGAATCTGAGATATGAGTGTGGAGCAGGGGCAGCACCCTGGAGGCTGTTAGAAGGGGCTACTGGGAGGGGAGCAAAGTCTTAAAATCGCACAGACTTGCAAGACTCCTACTGGCAGGGAAGGAGAGAAGCACGGAGGGGTGAAGGGGAATGGTGGAAGAGACCACACCAGGCAGGCACTTGGGACCATGCAGAGACCACCAAAGGCCCACTCCACTCTGTGGCACCAAGGAGGGAGGGCTATCGAATAAACCACTCCAGACCACACACCAGGCAAATCAGGGAATGTCACTTTAGGGGACTGAAAGAGACCATCCTAGGGGGTCGTGGCGTTGTGGAAGTGTAGGGTTAGATCTAAGCCACCTGCTCTGAACTCCTGTCCCCTCTGCAGAGGGCCGGCAGGCAGTGAGCACCTTTAAGGCCTGCATGAAGTTCAGCGACTGCTACTCAGGCTTCGTCTCCACCACCATGAGCCCCAATGACTACATGGTAACCAACGCACGGTGCTGCCAGAGTGACGGCTGCAACAGTGGCTCCGTGCCCCGTAAGTGCCAACTCAGCCCTGCCCCAGGGGCCACTGTGTGTGCTTGGCCCATACTGTAACACCTGGCAAGGCACCTCACTGGTTCTGGGCACCAGTTTCCTTACTTCTAAAATGCAGTTTCCATTAGCAGCCCTGGCATTCCCAGGGCTCTGGGGAAGTTGGGGCAAGAGTGTAAACATTCCTGTTCACTATACACGTCACCCTCATCTGCAGCTCCCCAGAACAATCGTACTGAGAATGGCTTGATGTGCCCCTCCTGCATCGTGCCCTTCCAGGAGACGTGCCCGGGAACCCAGGCAGCTCGCTGTGTTGGCCAGGAAACACATTGCATCTATTTTGCTGGCAACGTGCAGGCTGGTGAGGGGTCCCTGAATCTCTGAGGGTACAGGGATCCCAAAGCTGGAACCCCAAACCTCGCTGTTCCAGGGGAGGAGGGGCTCCCGAGAACTAGGCCAGGAGGTGGTAGGGGTGGAGACTCCTGGGCCATGAGAAGGGGCTGACTCCAGTCTGGAACCCTCCTCCCAGGGATCATCAACACCAAATTTGCCACTCGAGGCTGTGCTACAGAGAGTGCCTGCTACACGAAGGCTGGGGCCGAGGTGCCCTCAGCTTCCTACCTCTACTTCATCCGCCGGGCAGACTGCCTTCCAGCTCCCTATCCCCCTGGCCGGGCTGAGTGAAGACCTGAGGAATATATGGCTGGAGGTCTCCTTTTGTTCTGCTCTGCAGCTCCCCTATAATTAAACCAGTTAACAGAACAAGCCTGAGTACTTGTGACATGATGCATCTTGGGGAAGTGAGATGCAGAGGGTACAGATCTCAATCCTCTTTTCTAACCTCCTCTTTTCCAGGGATAGAGGGGGGACCTTGCACTTTATTAAGGGACACTCTTTGCCAGGCCCTTGTGCTAAGTGATTTCTATGTTATACCTCATTTTATGATCACAAATCTATGGAAATGAAATTATACCCACTTTTCAGACGAATAAACTGAGGCAGATTGTGGGTGCCACTTGCCTTGGGTTTTAACAGGTAGGAAAGGTCAGAATCTGATTTGAACCTGAGTCTGAGAGACTCCGGAGTTCTTGATTACTTATTTTTTTTTCCTGTTTTCTTGTCTACAAAATGTAGATTTTTTTTTTTTTCCTTTTCGGTAGTGCTGGGGACTGAACCTAGGGCCTTGTGCATGCGAAGAAAACACTCTACCAACTGAGCTGTATTAGATATTAATAGCTATGACCTTATAATGCTTTTGTAAGAGGCAAATGAAAGGACACTCTAAAAGCACTTAGTATAGTGCCTTCCACCTTTTAAGAGAATGTTTCTGTGAGCAATATGTCTAAATAAATAGTAATTATCATAATAGCTGCCACCTATTGAGTGGCCTTTAGTTGGCAGGTGCTAAACCCTGGCACCATTTGGGACAGACTAGATTTTCTATGACGAAAAACAAATCACTAATTTTGTGGTTTAAAATAACAAAGTTGCCAGGTGTGGTGGCACACACCTATAATCCCAGGAACTCAGGAGGCTGAGGCAGGAAGGAGCATGGAAAGTTCAAGGCCAGTCTCAGCAATTTAGAAAGACCCTGTGACAAAGTAAAAAAATATAAAATAAAAAAGTTTGGGGATATAACTTAATGGTACAGCTCCCTGTGTTCAATCTCTTGCACCCAAATAAAATAAATAAATAAAGCAAAGTTGTATGAATCACCTAATGCTGCAATAAAGCTGTGTAACAAAACATCCCAAACCTGAAACAATATTTTTGCCAAAGGGTTATGGGTTGGCTGGTTAGCTCCACTTCTAGCTGTGTTGGCTGATTTGGCTCTAGTGTGTGTGGGTGATGGGTGGTGGGGGAGGGAATCTTCCCCTTTGTGCACTTCCATAATCTTCCAGATCAGTTGCTCCCTCAACTGTTCTCATGGCAGATCACAGGAGCACAAATTTGAGTCAAGTATATTGAAGACCCTTGCTGAAGTTAGAACTGCTTGAGCAAGGTAAGTCATATAGCCTAACTCAGTAGCAATGGAGTAGGAAAGTATCCTCCCCCTCCAGTGGGAGGGAAGGAGTTAGGTTTGCTGAATGAGTGCCCATTCACAGAAAATTAGTTGTTCCTTCACTCTACATGTTTAGCACCATGAACAGCATTCAGCTCATTAGTCATTGAGCAGTCACCAACTTGAACATGGCCAATTTCTTTTTTTTAAATAAGTTTATTTACTTATTTATTTTTAGTTGTAGTTGGACACAACACCTGTATTTTACTTATTTATTTATTTATATGGTGATGAGGCTCGAACCCAGCACCTCGTACATGCTCGGCGAGCACTCTACCGCTGAGCCACAACCCCAGCCTGACCATGGCCACTTTCTATACCCAAAGCAAAGAGCCCAGGAAAACCTCACATGTGTGATTAAAAGCTGTGATTTAGCCAGGCGTGGTGGTGTATGCCTGTAATCCCAGTAGCTTGAGAGGCTGAGGCACGAGGATTGCAATTTCAAAGCCAGCTTCAGCACTTTAGCAAGGCTCTAAGCAACTTAGCAAGATCCAGTCTCAAAAAATAAAAGGCATTGAGGATGTGATTTAGTGACAGAATGCCCGTCTTCACCTACTACTGCAAAAAACAAAAAAAAACCCTGTGACTCAGAAATCACTTTAAGCTCCTGAGGCTGGCCTTGAACTTGTGATCCTCCTCCTGCCTTGGGGTCCCCAGTCCTAGTTATTACAGGTGTTGCATCAACCACCACACCCAGCAACACTTTCTACTGGTTCGAGGAAACTAGTCACATGGCCTCACACAACCACAGGGAATCCAGGAAGTGCAATCCCACCCTAGGATTATAAAACTGACAGCTGAATGTTTCACAATAGCACGTAGGACCACCAAGGCCTCTTAGAGCTCATTTCTCATGTTACCTTCACAACTCTGTGATAGGCACTGTTATTCTCGTCCTTGTTTTCAAAAGATGAATCTGAAGCTCACAGAAAGGATTCACATTGAAGATTTGAATCACTGGGAGAAAGAGACCACATCACAGAGTTAAACAAGTTTGACTGTTGGCTTTCATTGCATAACAAACCACTCCAAAATTCTGTAGTTTATAACAATCAACTTTTATTTAGCTCATTATTCTGTGTATCGGTGAATTGGTCAGGGACCAGCTGTGCGATTCTTCTGCTGGTCTCAGCTGCCAGTCGATTAGGCAGATGTGTTTCTGAGTGTTGGCTGGCTGAGTTGAGGTGCCAAGGACAACTGGGCTACATGTGTCTTCATTACCTAGCAACTGAGCCTAGGCTTCTTAATCTGGCAATGGGGACAGGGGTCCCAGGGACAGCATAAGGAAGTCACGATGCACGAGCACTTTTTAAATCTCTCCTTGCATCAAATTTGCTGTTGCCCCAGTGAATGAGATGAGAGAAGACGATCCAAGGCCACGCTACAGAGAGGCTGAACAAACTGGGGACATTAATGCGTCACGCTGGTCTGGAGTAAATGTGCTTGACCATCAAGGTCCTAACAGTCCCCTTCCAGGATGGCGAAACTCAGATCCTGCAGATAAAAGCTCCTAATCAGGAGCCTAAGGAATTGTTCTCTGGACAGATTCCCCATCATCTTTCCCCTACCCTCGGCCCCAGGAGTCCAGGCTCCCAGCCTAGTCAGGAGGCTCAGCATTTCCCCCACTCAAACCCCCAAAGAACACACAATAGGATTTCTACACATTTTTATTCATTCCTCCAAAAAACACCATAGGTCACCGTACCCTTGATTTGTCCTTCCTGGTTCCCCACTGCAATGGACACAAGCCCCACCATGACCCAGAAATGCAAAAGCTCTGCTACAGTGATGAGGGTGTCTCATTCATTCTCCCATGTTTTGGGGGTTTTTTCTGCTTTGGCTATGGCAACACGAAGGTACATCACACATTCCCAGGTCTCCCAGCCCTGAGATGCCACATTAGACCCATCCCATGGCAGCCTGTGATCTGTCCATAGGGAATTTTAGCCTTTCCTCCTTGGATGCTCCCAGGGACAGATACCTCACTCACACAATCTTGTGACTCTGCAATTCCTAAACTGAATCCATCAAGTCATGATTAAAGGCCACCAGGGCTGGGGATGTAGGTCAGTGGTAGAACACTTACCCAGCAGAACCCAGGATCTGAGGTCCTAGGTTCAATCCCCCAGGGGCAGGGGGACCCAAAAACAGAAGCAAGCACCAAAAACAGAAGCAATGAAACCCAAAGGTGCCAACATACAACTATATAAACATAACGGCATTCAACACACACACACACACACACACAAATTGTCTTGTTTTCTTTGATATTATCTCTGGCACGAGGGCACAGGGGATAATAGCAACAAAGCACAGAACAGAGTTGTCCACAAGACAATCTGAGCAAAGGCTTGGCGGTGACAGGTGCCTAAGCTAGAGACATTTTCATGCTGCTCAGGGCTGAAGACGTGTGGGCAAAAGCAAGAGGACTGAGCTCCCAGGCCACCTTCTCAGGAGGGTCTGTAGCATGCTGCACACACACTTATACGTATATCCATCCATACAGGGAACTCTCATAACCTGTATGAGGTAGATGCCATTTGCTGAATGACTTCCCCAAGATCACGCCCAAAGTCAGCAGGCCTGTCTCACCCTACAGCTATGCTAGTAAGTTTCCTGCAATCACAAAAATGTTCTATATTGATACTGGTCAACACTGTAGCCACTAACCACAAGTGGCTACTGAGCACTTGAAATGTGGTAATGCAGCTGAGAAATTGAATTTTTAATTTTATTTACCTAATTTTTTTAGTTGTAGATGGACATAATATCTTTATTTTATTTGTTTTTATGTGGTGCTGAGGATTGAACTCAGTGCCTCACACATCCAGGCAAGTGATCTACCACCGAGCCACAATCCTAGTTCCTAATTTTATTTACTTTTAACACTCATCTCAGTTATCAAAGAAGTATTAAATATAATTTGATATTGGGTATATGAATCTATGTCACCTATGAATTTTACTTTTTTCAATACTCGGGATTGAACCCCAGGGCATTCTACCAAGCTAAACTCCCAGCTCTTTACCTTCTTTGATGTAGGGTCTCATATAATTGCTGAGGCTGGCCTTCTTGCAATCCTCCTTCCTCAGCCTCCTGAGTAGCTGGGATTACAGGCATGCACCACTGTGCCCAGCCTGAATTTTGTGAAATTTAAAGAGGTCAAACTTTTCTAATAAAAATTTATTATCTGAATTGAGATGCTCTAGGTTTAAAATACAAAAATGGATCTTGAACTAAATGAATGTAAACTATCTCATTACTACCTTTAACACATTATGTGTTGAAATGATAATATTTGGGGGACATTGGGTTAAACAAAATATTAAAATCAATCTTTCTAAGGCTGAGTGAGTTCTGTGCATGAAGCCTAGAGCCATTTAGCACCAAGTCAATCATGGCCATTTGACTTTGATGGGACAATTTGTGCCAGTGGTAAGATTAAGCAGAAGATGGGGTTACTGTCCCCCAACTATCTGTCCCTCAGAACAGTAACTCTTGTTTTCAGTTGTCAAGGAAAATAGGATCTCGGATGCATTCATGGTTCTCATCCAGCCCTTTCACTTCACAGATGGGAAAATAAGGCATAGGTCCAAGTGACAGAGTGAGTGGTGTAACCATGCTTGCTTCTCTCCATCTTGTTCCTCTTTCCTTTCTGGGAGGCCAAAAATATAAATGTTACCCTAGTTCTTAATTTCATTTTTTTGGTGTGTGGTGCTGGGGATTGAACCCAGGGCCTTGTGTATGCGAGGCAAGCACTCTACAAACTGCTCTATCTCCAGCCCTAAATTTTACCCTAGTTCTGCTACTGATCAGTGAATCTAAAAATATTATTTATTAAACACCTACTGTGTGCCAGATACTGTTCTAGGTATTGACTATATACCAGAGAACAAGACAAGCAAAGAGGTAATAGCCAATAAGCAGGTAAATAATAAATAAATAAATAAGGTCATTTATTATAGTGATATTTGCTACAAGGTAAATCAACTGGCCAGAACCAGTAGCGAGGATGTGCAAGCTACATCAGTTAGGGTGGTCAGGAAGGCCTTTCTGAGGGGACATCTGAGTAGAGACCTGATGGACAAGGAGCCAATCATGGGAAAATATGGAAACAGTGTATTACAAGGGAAAATAACAAGTGCAAAGGTCCTGAGGCAGGACTCAAGATTCTACTCTATCAGAAGAACCTATCAGGCTCATTGGGAATGGGATAGGGCAAAGAATGAGAAGAGGCAGGAGCCAGACCACACGAAGCCTTCTTATGGCTATTGGGCCTCCAGCCTGCCCTCTGGACTTGCTCTTCCCATCTGTTAGATTTTTTGACACTATATAATTTCAGGTTTCCTGCCTACACATAGTTAGCAGCTTAAAACACGCAGGCACTGCAGTTTCTGCCTTTGCCTCACCCCTGACACATTCTCACCATCGGGACTACCTACCTGCTCAGCTGTTCTGTGGCAGTGCTACTGGCTGCAGCACCCTCTGTGTACACCAGAAGGCAGAGTCTCTTAGGAATACCGGAGAAGGCCACACAAAAATGTTTGGACTAGTGCAGCAGTACAGCTGTTTCTCTAAAAGCCAGGTGCACAAAATGCCAAAGCAAAAAAGGGTTAAGGCTATTATGACAGAAGAAACCCAGACTGAAACCAAATGAACAAAAAAGGTAATAGAACCGTAAAGG